TCTCGATCAGATGATGTCGAGATGCCAGTAGATATGGCTCCATCAGATAAATCGCGAGTGCGTGTATAAACAAATGATTGACTACGCTGGAGTGCCGCATTTTGAAATTGAAACTAACGCCCGGTTGGATTGTCTGGAAAAGATGATTTACTCCAAAATTGGCACGCCTAATTACTCCATCAATTAATCGATTTTTCTGATAATTGTTAGCTAGCGCTCTAGTTGTTGACAACCGCTACGGCGCTAACTAACAATTATTGGAAAAAACAATTAATTTCCGGAGTACCTAGGAGTCCAAATTTCGGAGTAAATAATGTTTCCCAAATAATCCATCCGGGCCTTAAATTTATGTCGTATTTTATATCTACGCCCAAAATGGCAAGTACGATATTAAATTATTGAAGTAAATCAATTAAACCTCACCGACAAATTTGTGAAGATATTTTTAATAACTGTTAATTCCTTGAAACACAAATAATCAGCAGTCGGAGGCTTTGAACTCAAACCCCCAGAACCGAGCCTCTACTTTGGTCAATCCTCTTTGAGTGGGGCTTTGGAGGGCGCCGAAAAATTTTTTCATTCAATCTCGAGGAATTATGGCATCCCGCACGAAAATTCGCCAATAATTCATTATCATTTAGTCGTTTAAACAATTGAGATTATTTGATTTTTAGGGAAGTGTCGGAGTGAAACAATCGTTCGGTGATAAATATCGGTTTTCAACTTTATTTCAATGATTTATCACAATAACTTATACTTTCCACTCGGATTACATGACCCAGAAAAACTCTGGAAACATTTAATATCATTGAACAACGTACATTATTCACAATAATTATTTTTATCAATAAACCCTTTTTTTTCTTCAATTCAACGATGAAAAAAAATTGTTTTGGCACACTCTTGCGGTGAATTGTGCTCGGTGTCTGGGACAAATAGAGTAATTTATCCATAGATTAGAAAAAGACAATTCTCCTTGGGGGGAGAATTATTTTAACGTGTCTTTCGCTCTATAGGGGAAATGGATTGTCTTTTATTTCAATTTCAGAGGAAATTTCACTTGTTGTCTGCCATTACGTGATTTGTGTTTTGAGTGGTTTGTTATGGATTCCTCTCGTAAATGCCGGAATCGGGAAATAACACTCGTGTAGTTGATCGAAAAATGATAATTATCGTTTATCAGTGCAGTATTATCACTGGGTTTTTTCCCCAACTTTATAGTTATTCAACAGTTATTATTCAACAGTTTAGGGAGTTATTTACACAGTTAACTCCTGATTTTTTGCACGTTTATAGATTGAAATATTTAGTTCTGCCCACGGAGGGGATAAAAAACTCGGCATTGTTTATTGATTAATCCGATAACAAATAGAAAATTATGTGCGGAGTGACGAAATTAACGTGAATATAAAAATAATCAAATCAATTTTCATTAGTTCAAAAGAAAATGGGATAGAATAAAAAATAGATTACTAAAAAAAAATATTTAAAAAATTGGTTTGAACCGTTTTTAAAAAATAATTTTTCATCTACTCGAATGATAAATTTTTCGTGATTCATTGGCAGTGGTAATTCATATGTCATCGTCACAATGAAAAATTAAATCCTGTCGATTTTATTATTGTTTATAATTCATTATATTTACCATAAATTACGAATGAATAAATAATGACTCGATAATTGATCTGGATCGATAATCCAATCAAATTAATCAATCACTTAATTAAGAATGATAGGGGAAATTGATAAAGAGTCGTACAGGACGTTTTTAAATCTTCAATAACTCGTGATTGGCTGAGTGAAATTTCCAGATTTTTCATTCACTTTGAAAATATTTTTCTAATCTTGAAAGTAAAACTTGACTCGTTCAGATCATGTCGTGAGATCTAGAGATATTGAAGATTTATGGGCGTCATTTTTAAGCCCCCAGCTTTATGTTATTCCTATTAGAGACATTTTTGGCACAAAACCGGAGTAATTAATTATTGAGTGACTCAAGGTCGTTCGATTAACATCTCTGATGATATTGTTTTAATACTCAGCTTAAATTTGTCGAGATGGTAGTCGATGATTATTTTATGTTATTCTGTTCCTCTCGTTTATTTTATGTGGACACGTGTTTTGAATGATCTTACTAAATTCAGTAATGCTGGATGGGGGGGTGTTAGGACAACTAGGGGGGGTCAGTTGGTATTTTGCTTGTTTGTGCGAAGTCGAGCTAGTCCTGAACGCTCACCCTCTTCCTCGTCTGAGGTACAGGGTGGACCACCACCCACAGCCCCTCTCGATGATGTTGCTTGCATCAGCTCTTGGTCTGGTCCATTTCTATGCTCATACAGAAGAATATTCAATGTCTCCTCGTAAATACGAGCCTCCGGGAATTCCACCTGATGAGAAAAAAATCATTATCATGATTAATTGATTATCACTGAATTTTTTAATGTCACGTGAGAATGAAATTCACAGAATAGTCAATCTTGTTCCCATAGTTTTGTGAATATCTCTGGAGAAAATAGATTTAGCGAAAAATGTCAGGGAAATTTTTTGTAGACAATTTCAATGTCTTTGAGATCGGTCCCTGTCATTTTTTCGGTAAACCCAATCGTTTCTTGTATTTTTTGAGGTAATTATCGGATATTTTTCGGGGGTAATTTCTGTTACCTTCGTGTGCTTCTTATCCGTTGTGTAAACAATCGAGTGACAACAGACCTCTCCGACCTTTCGCCCATGGCCGTAGAATGTCCAACAACATATTTCTATTGAGCCTATCACATCTTTTATGAAGAGTACTCTGCCATTGAATCTCAACGACATTTTGTCGAATAATTCGATATTTTTTAACAGATTGTCGTCTGATGTGCTGGAAGTATTTAAAATCAATTACTTGACTGAAAACTCGGCAATTTCACCAAAAATATTATCTCTGGTAATTGAAAATTGCCATGAGAGCAATTCTAAATTGAATGAAAAAGAATAATGTGAGGCTTTGAACAAGGCATTGTTACCTAGTGTAGGAATATTTATTGTTATGCCTATTGATAAGAAGTTTAACAACTGGTTTTGTTGTACTACTAATCAACAATTGCTCCTCCCTTTGCGATGTTATGAGTGCAACCCTGCAAATTGGCTCGGCCTCTCTCTCTTTTCTAAGTAGTGCCTTTTCGCAAGATTCTGCTAGTTCACTTATGCAATAATATTTCGACTCAGCGAGTAGCTCAGTAATTTCTTTAGTACTCTCCGGTAGACCCACTGATCCATCCCTGAGAAAATTTAAAATTGTACCGAAGTGCTTTCCACATCTGTCGATGAGAATCCATCCTGAAACATAAATAAACAGATTATCAATAACTCATTGGAGTTTTTTCCAAATATAACAATATCTTTGAATCCAGGAGAGTTAGCATAATTTTCCATTAGACCTTTTTTGTCGTCCTTCAGATTTACCACAAAAAATATCTTAACGAAAATTTTGATATTTCAATTAGATCTCGGGATATTCACGATTTAGAAAATGACGATTACGGAATAATTTGATTTTTTTTCTTTTTTTCTTTGCAATTGATAAAAATAATTAAAAAATTCACCTTCGGAGTCGGTGTGCACGTCCATTCGTCCACTGAACATAGCACGTAACATAGTGTCATGCTTTCTCAATGTACTGATAGTAGTGTAATGTAATGAACCACCGATATTTAATTTAACGTATTCCGATGGATAACGAATGACAGGTCTGTGATCCCCAGACATTCCTGGTGCGCTTACTAATAATCCTGGTGACGACGTCGATGTTGGCGACGACGTACCCGTCGGTGACGTTGGTTCCTCGATTTTATCGGGCGAAATGATCAACATTTAATGAACAAAAATAGCAGCGTCCACCGACACTGCGATTTTTCTTAATTTATTTATTTATCACTTTTTGGGGGATAACAGATCAACTCCGGTGGTTAATGGTTGAAATTCAATTCGCTGGATTTATTCACGATTGAATCATTCACTGGGTCTAGGTTACGAGTGTGCGGCGCATTTTTAACGGTTTTAGACGATTATTTCTGGTGGTTCCAGGGGATTCAGATGAGTTGAGACATTTTTTTGAGATCTCGAAGAGCTTTTGCAGTCACTGGGAGGTTCGTCAGACGATTATCGTCAGGGGGGACATGGAATAACACGGGAAAGGCGTGGAATGTGAAAATTTTGACAGATGGTGAAGTGGATTTGACAGATGATCGACGCACTCTTGTGGACGATCTTTGAAGTTTATGGAATTAATGAGGGATCATCGCCCTCCTTGACCTGGGGTTGGTACTCGAATTCTTGAGGCGATATTTTTATCTAACGCCGATTTTCCGGTGAAAACTTCGTGTCCTGCCTTATTTATGGGTACGGTCGACAAAAACGTTGCTGATCTCCCGTATAATTTCTGATTCGATACTCTCGCAGTCGCCATTTCGATTTCTTTCGACTTTCATCAATTCGATTTTTAAGCGGTAGCCATTATGTTCTCCTTTGTATATAAGGAATTGGTTGAGAAAACGCACAACAAAACGCGGGATTCGTCGTCCGTTGGCATTGACCGGTGCTTTTATTTCCTCGGGAGGAAAATATAAAAGTCTTCTTTGGGTGTTAGAAAGCTTTGGTTTTTTGAGATTTTCCGGCATTTTGGGGTCTCGAGGACACCGACTTCGAGATGGATTTTTTAGAGTATCCGGATATAACGGCAGAGGTTAAGGGTGCCATGGTAAGTTTAAATTTATATTAATATTATATTTCAATGCAGTTATCGATTTATTTGATTATTTTTTTATTCATCAAGTCAAATCTGTCAGGAATTCCTTAAATGACTCTCTAATTATTCTCTAAAAGATTCCAACTCATTACTCTGGAATTATTTATTAATTATTCCACCGATTAATGTAGACTCCAGGTCGGCTGAAGCTGACGGACCAGGCGTTACACTTCAAGAATCAGAAAACCGGAAAAGTGGAGCAAATATCGTCGAACGACATGGAAATGGTGAATTTTCAGAAATTCGTCGGTACCTGGGGTCTCCGGATATTTCTGAAGAATGGAATTCTCCACAGATTCCGTGGCTTCAAGGAGGCGGACCTGGAGAAGGTCTCCAAGTTCTTCAGTACGAATTACAAAAAGGACATGCTCGAGAAAGAATTGTCCCTGAAGGGGTGGAACTGGGGAACAGCGAAATTCACTGGATCAGTCTTGTCCTTCGACGTTGGCCACCACACAGCCTTTGAGGTTCCCCTCTACGACGTCTCCCAGTGTACTACAGGAAAAAATGAGGTCACTCTGGAGTTTCACCAGAACGACGACGCACCTGTCTCCCTCATGGAGATGCGTTTTCACATACCGGTGATGGACTCTGCTGAGACTGATCCAGTGGATTCCTTCCACCAGCAGGTGATGGACAAGGCTTCGGTGATTTCTGTTTCAGGGGATGCAATCGCCATCTTCAAGGAAATTCAGTGTCTCACACCTCGTGGTCGCTATGACATCAAAATTTTTCAATCGTTCTTTCAATTACATGGGAAAACATTCGATTACAAGATCCCAATGTCCACAGTATTGCGACTATTTCTTCTTCCTCACAAGGACAGTCGTCAGATGTTCTTCGTTGTTTCACTGGATCCTCCAATTAAACAAGGGCAGACACGTTATCATTATCTCGTTTTGTTATTCAATCAGGAGGAGGAAACGTCCATTGAATTGCCATTCACTGAGAAAGAACTCAAGGAGAGGTACGAGGACAAATTACCCAAGGACCTGTCTGGACCAACTTACGAGGTGCTGGGAAAAGTTATGAAGGTCATAATAAACCGTAAATTGACAGGACCTGGTGGTTTCGTTGGTCATTCAGGCACTCCAGCTATCGGTTGTTCCTTCAAGGCAGCAGCTGGCTACCTCTATCCTCTGGAGAGAGGTTTCATTTACGTTCACAAGCCACCGATTCACATAAGATTCGACGAAATAGCATCTGTTAATTTTGCCCGAGGTGGTGGTAGCACCAGGAGTTTTGATTTTGAAATTGAATTGACATCTGGTGTTGTTCACACGTTCTCCAGCATCGAGAAGGAGGAGTATGGAAAGCTCTTTGATTTTATCACCTCGAAGAAGCTGAGGGTAAAGAACAGGGGAAAGGGTGAGAAGGTTTCGTATGACAACGACTTTGGGGATTCTGATAATGAAGCGGAGCCTGATGCTTATCTGGCTCGGGTTAAGGCTGAGGCCAAGGAACGGGATGATGTCAACGACTCGGAGGAGGACGAGAGCACTGATGAGGACTTTAATCCTAATCAGGATGAAAGTGATGTTGCTGAGGAGTATGACTCGAATCCTGCGACAAGTGAGGACTCTGATGAGGAGGACAGCGATGCTAGCGGGAGGAAGGAGAAGAAGGAGAAAAAAAAAAGTAAAAGCGCTAAAACTGTTAGTGAGAAGCCGAGGAAACCCAGGAAGAAGAAGAAGGAGAGGGAGGAGGGCAGACCCAAAAGACCTGCCACAGCTTTCATGTTGTGGTTGAACAGTGCCAGGGAGAAGATAAAAGAGGATAATCCTGGTATAGCTGTTACTGAAATTGCCAAGAAAGCTGGGGAGATGTGGAAGACACTTGATGGAAAATCAGAATGGGAGAAGAAGGGACAGAAATTGAAGGAGGAGTACGCAGAGGCAATGAAGAAGTTTGAGGCAGCGGGTGGTGGCTCTAAGGATAAAGGAAAGGAGAAGCCGGAGAGGAAGAAGAGGGAGACCAAGAAGGATTCCAAGAAAGATGTCTCGCCGGCGAAGGCTGGCTCGTTTAAAAGCAAGGAGTACATTTCTGATGACGACAGCAGCAGTGATGAGAGCAAGAAGTCCAAAGGGAGTGATGATGAGAGCGAAGGGGAGAAGAAAAAAACGGTTAAGAAGGGAGGAGAGAAACGTCCAGCAGCTGTGAGTTTAATTTTCAATCTTAGTTCCAATTTAATTGAAAGTATGAAAATTATTTTTAATTATGAGTTCAAATGCTATTCAAACGCAATTTTATTCAATTAATGAAATGGGAGATTTTTTTAAATAATTACAATTATTTTTCTATTCAGAACGACAAAAAGAGGGTGAAAAAGGGGAGAAAGGAATCCTCTGGGTCGAGTGAGGAAGAGGAAATCGAGGAGAGCGATGAATCTACTGGCAGTGATTAAATACTTAATCTAAATTATTGTTAACACAAATGTTACAATTGAATAAGTTAAACTGTAAATTTTTCTCCTATTGTTCCTTGTATTTTTTCCATATTTTTCATTAAGAGCAATTAATAATATTCATTTTCAGTAAATACTCTATGGCAAGTTTTTTTAATGTTTACTGAAGGTCACAGAAAAATTAGATGAGGGGAAATTAAGAAAAATAGATCTTGTCGTATTTACAGGGAATCTTTTGTGGTCAACTGTCAGCTCGGTGACTTTTTCTCGTTTTCGGTTCCCAAGTGGTTTATCTCGATGTCTTTCAGCTCGATATTCTGCTCTTTCATCGATTTCTGTGAAATTCAGGGAAAAATTCGTAGTTTAATTTGGACGGTTCTTTCGTTAATAATTCATCATTTCGATTATTAATTTAGTTCAGACTTTCGTGCACATTCTCTCCACATTTTTCACCCTGAATTACTTCGATTTGTATTCAGACTCGCCGAATTTTATTGCATTCGTTTAAAATTCATGAAAAAAATCAAGTTGACATTTTATTGGAGCCGTCAATTTGTCTGAATTTTCGACTTATCTCGAAAAATATCGATTCTAGGAGGAAAAATCATCAGCCCTTTTTTTTCGTTAACTTAGTGAACTACAAAAAAGTCCTCTGAAGATTTCACCGGAGAGCAATAGATTTCGGGATAAAACGAATTAAAATCCCACATTTGGTTTTTTTCGTAATTTTTAATTGGTGATTTATTGGAAATTCCAGATTTTTTGATAATAATTATTAGTCATTGACACGTGCCTGCACACACTCTTTATAAACCTTGAGAAGAGGTGCACAGATGGAATCATCTGTGTGGCCCTTCATAAATCGCTCGGTGAACCAATTATTGAAGCACTCGTCGTAATTCTTCTTGAGCTCCTGGCACGCCTCCATCCCCTGCAATAAATCATCATAAAAAGTAACAATTTAAATTACCTTCACACATTGTTGATAAACTTTGAAGAGAGGGGCGCACATAGAGTCATTTGTATCCCCTTTGAGAAAATTTTCAGTGAACCAAGTTTGAAAGCACATGTCGTACTCTCTCTTAATCTCATTGCAAGCATCACCTAGGCTATTCATGTCCCAGTTATTACTTTCGTCACTTTCCTCTATCTAAAGATCCAAAAAATACATTGAGTCAATGGGTCGTCACTTGAATACACCAAGTCCTTAATTCAGTGTTTATTAACAAATTAGGGTTTGCCATTAGCTAGGTGAAATAAATGAATATCTTTACAAAATGAGAATAAAAATAATTGGAACGCTAATAATCCCAGCCTCCAACTATTTTTTATTTAATTTGAAATAATTCCAACAGTCATTGATTAATAAATTAATTCCAACCGAATGTTTAAGACAATGCCCTGAAAATGCGAATTTTTCTCATTAAAAATCAACGAAAATGCCAGGAACTGGAACATTGACTTAATTTATTTAATTATTATAGCTTTTACTATTGGTGGTCCATGAAAAACTATTTTATTCAAAGGCAAAAAAATAACAAAAAAAAATTCACTTGTCACTTGTCCTAAAAGACGAGAAATTACTCCATGACAAATGAATGATAATAATTAATTTAGTAATAATTCAATTTGATAATAATACATTTTCTAATCACCTCGAATTATTTATTCTCCTATGATTTCACTGAAGTGATAGGTTACTGTATTTTTCTGATAATTTTAATTCGATTTTTCGGAGATTTCATGTAAAGGTTGAGGCAATTGTTGATAATTATTGTTGATTGTTCCTGATTGATTGTTATTAAAGGACAAATCAGGGGTGACTGTCAATAAATGAGGGAAACTCCTGTTTTTCTTGTTGATTGGAAAATTCACTGGTTCTCTGTTGATAACGAAAATTTGAAGCACGTGCTGTTGAAAATACAGATATCTATTTGCCCCGTAAAACTTATTCAAATAATAATTTCCCTTCCCCTGCAATTCAAACATCAATTATTCCCCTCCACTGGGCAATTATTTGGCCAATTATTTGCATTATTTTTTAATTACAAAATCACTCGGTTATTCGTAATTAAATATTTACTATTTCCCGTTGATTACAAGAATAAATTCAAATATCAGGTTCTACGACTCTTTCTACAAGAATAAAATACTCCATGAAATATTAATAACAAATGGGATTTCTCGTATTGATAATTAGTTTATAACGGGTTCGACTTCAGTAATAATTTTGATCACCATGAAAATTCGTTTTCCTCTGAATTTTCCATGGAAAACGTAAATAATGGGGAATATTGTCTACGAAGTTGAATTCTGATTAGTTAATCCTGAATCTGATTAATTCATCGATCGACATTTTTAATTACAAATTAAGAAGGTTGTGGGGGAGAGAATTGTCGTATCAAGTACATTTTATTGAATTTAGTTCTGAGTTCAAGTCTGGATCGTCTGGATGTAACCTCACGTCACATTTGCAGTCCATGTGTTAAGTTAGTGCTGTTGATTAAAAAAAGGTGATAATGGTGTCGAAAAATGAGGATATTGCAGACGTTCCACTGAATCATGAGGTGAGTCCTAGAAATTTCCATAGATCTATCAATTTCTAGTGTTTCAAAGGATTTTCAGTGGTTCTAGAACTAGTTGAGGTTAGAATACTCTAAATCTCAAAGACCAATTTTACTGTGAATTATCAGCAAATTAATTAATCACATTTTATTAACATTAAGTACGCAATCATCGGAAAATGAGATATTAACGTCTCCCCAGTAAAAAATCGTTTGTGCTATTGAAATTCTCATTTTTCTCGGAGAATTCGGTGGAATAATTTATCGATATTTAATAAATAAAGAATGGTTTTTCATTCGTGATAATTTATTTAGCTGGTGGGACTTGATTCAAATCTATAGTATTTCGTCTATATTATTTTATTTACTTTATAATTTTTTAATTCCTTTAATTGAAGACATTTACGTGAAAATTGAAGAGAAAATTTGTTTTTTGATAAAATTATTTTGGAGATGATGGAATATTGAAGTAGATCGCAGTCTTTGAGTATTCAATCAATTTTCAAATGTAAATCTATCAATCAATCGGAGCGAAATTCATTCCACACTGAAAAAAAATCATCACAGAATACCCCACAATGAATTAATAATCCGCCTACTCTCGTATGAAGTCCAAGGCGAAAGAAATACCAGTACTAGTTCTACAATTATTATCCATCGATATTTCCTACCGTCGGAGGAAAAAAAATTATGTCACGGTGAGAATTTCTCACGTGTCATTTCCATCCCTCGATTATCGAACAAATTGTGGATTATTCCCTCAATTTAATCGATTCAATTCTCTCAATGAGATAACGACATCAAAAACTAATTAAAAAAACTTGAAATCTTCATATTTAATCAATTACTTCACGAATAACTATAATTTTTGTATGAACAATTCGTTATTGCAAATTTCGAGATTTTTCACTTGAAATTCCAGAATCAATTGTTTCTTTTTATCTGAAATTTATTTCTTCATCATTGCAAATTACTATAATAAATATTCTTAAGGCTCGGGTGGATTATCTAGAAAAGATAATTTACTCCGTAATTCGGATTCCTAATTACTTTGGCAATTAATCGTTTTTTTCAATAATTGTTAGCTAGCGTTCTAGCGGTTGTCAACAACTAGGCCGCTAGCTAACAATTATCGGAAAAAACGATTAATTGATGGAGTAATTAGAAGTCCCAATGTTGGAGTAAATTATCTTTTCCAGACAGTCCATTGGGGTCTTAAACAAGAATATGATCCACACGTGCCTCTTCATAACTCAAACTCTCAGTTTAAGGGCCGGATGGAGTATCTCGGAAAGATAATTTACTCCAAAATTGGGATTCCTAATTACTCCGCCAATTAATTATTTTTTCCGATAATTGTTAGCTAGCGTTCTAGTCGTTGACAACCACTAGAACGCTAGCTAACAATTATTGAAAAAAAAACGATTAATTGCCAGAGTAATTAGGAATCCCAATTTTGGAGTAAATTATTTTTTCCAGATAATCCAACCGGTCCTTTAAATCTAGACACTAATCTTTCACGCGTCCATAACAAAAATGAAAAACAAAAAAAAAACGTTATATAACTAAAAATTGCAATAAGCAAATAATAAAGCGGTGGATTAATCAGTATTCAAACGTTGCCATGCCACTATCGATTCCATTCTGCGCATGAACCGGAGCACCATAATTGTCCCACATTCGATGGATCCAACCCAGTGTCCAACGGAGTGTCAATCGTCAAGACACTCGTGATGACGCGCTCTAAAATCCTCGGAAAACCCCAAAAAAATCCCCAAAACCCCTGTCCCCTGCGATGCTAAACGCATCGAATTCCCTGACCAGCTGTTGCTCACTGCAATCATCACGAGGACCACCGGAGCTGAAAAAAACCCGTCGTCTTCATGGTCTCCAACTGCCCCTCCATCCGCAACAACTAGGGGGCTGGTTGTTGCTAGTGTTATTAACCCTCGGTGGATTTATCTCGGTGGTACCCCAGCTATCAACAGCCCTACGTACATCCGTGACAATAATCCTTCTGCTGACTCTCGTTATTCACACTATAACCCACATATTTGCCCTCATAATTGACCCATCTGACCCACAAGTGCGTGAACAACCCACGAACAATGTTGTACCCGAATTTGACAGGACAAAGCATCTCCATGTCATTGAAAATGGAAGGTGTCATCTCTGCAACATAACGATCACCTCCAAGAGGACAAAGCACTGTTCGGTCTGCAACAAGTGCGTTAAAAAATTCGATCACCACTGCATGTGGTTGAACAATTGCATCGGCAGTCGTAATTACAAGTACTTCATTGTATGCGTTGTATCGGCTATTGTCGGTGCTGTTATTCTGGTAGCAATTAGCTTCTGCCAAGTTGTTGTGACAATCGAGCATCAGAACGCTGGCAATTCCATGATGGAGAACATCACGATGCCGATTGTATCGATACAACCGATTCAGAGTACCAGTACTTTGATAATCATCTCGGTCGTTGGTGTTTTGTCAGCGATAGCTGCTGCTTTGCTCATACATCTGTGTATTTTTCACGGATACATCGCTTATTTGGGTTTAACGACTTATGAATATGTGAGAAATAAGAGGGAGCAGAGGGCCGTTGTCCAGGAGGTGAAACCACCACGGAAGTTTGGTAATCTTGATAATTATCATTTCTGCAAGGATGTGAATGTCGAGGAGACGAGGGTAGCTGATGCTAATCAGGTGTTCATATGCTCGACGCATTCCGAGAGCAAGACGAGGAGTAGAGACAAGCGCAACTTTCATTTGTACTTTACTTATGAAACCCCGGAGGATGCCACGTCCTTCGAGCTCACCCAGACGACGATCTCTGGGGATCAGAGACTCCAGGACTTGGAAGCCAAAGTCGCCGAGATGAAACCACTCACACCGTCGCCCGTTTCCTGCTGCTTCTCCATCATGAATCACAGCTGGACAGAGCGCAAGAAGAAGAAGAGCCATCGCAATGACGACGACAAAGTCGTCACCAGGTGCACACCTGTTCGTCGGATTCAGACATTTTTTCGCAGCAGATTGCGAAAAAATGCGCGGCAGAGGGCCCTGGACTCAACGCGTGGAAGGAAAAATCGGATTGGACCAATTGGATCGACCGAGGAGGTGAATGTCGAGGAGAAGCTCGAGGAGAAGGTCGAGACGATCGCTGCGGGTGTTCCTCAAGGGATTGCAGGAGTTAATCCTGGAATTCCTGATTGTAGTCTTGAGGTTCCTGTGAGACCTCTCAAGCTACCGCCACTTCAGTTACCCTCTGTCGATGATGTTATATGTGAGAACACTGTGTTCAGTATGCCCGTCTCCAAGAGGAATCAGATGAGAATCCGGAGGCCCAGCTTCCACAGGCGACCGAGATTCAAAATGAGTCCTCATGTCACACAATCAGCTCAATTGTCACCCATTCCAGAGTCAGAGTTCTCAAAACCTGCGTCACCAAGATCACCACCGAAGCTCAAGCATTTCGCATTTCCGCCCACTTCCACTGACTGATTTATTTTATTTCACATTGTGTTCGCTGGGGGAGGGGAAATTTATTTTCTCCAACGAATCCTCTAATTCGATTTTTTCTTTATCGTCAGACGAAATCGGTTACTGATTCATTTCACACTAGATTATTATTATACTAATAATAATGATAATTGGTTATTATTAACGGGTATTACTTATTAGTAATTACTATTCATTTTTTAATATGGGAGTACTTATTTGTAAATAATTCAATGAGTCGACTTTTCAAATTTGAGAAGTAATTTATCTTGTTTATTGCGGGGAAGGAAACATGATTATAATCAAAATAATTATAATAACGCCGAGGAATGATTTTTATGGTTATAATTTTTTAAAAATTGGATTGATGGTTTTTTTCTCGGACTGTGCTTTTTTGGAATCGGTTCCAGTGATAATTATTTTTACAATTTCTTTTGAAATATTTAAGGTAAAAATTGTCATTAGTGTCTATTGCGGTATGTAGGATCAAACGAACAGTATTCTAAAGAGTAATTCGAGTGCAATATTGATTTAATAATTGTAATTGAATATTTCAGTGGTGAAGTGGTAAGAAGATAATGGATTATTTCTGTGAATATTTCAAGAAGGAAAATCAGAATCTTTTTATAGAGTTACATAATTAATTAAACATATCTCTATTTATTCACTGAATAAAAATAATCGATGGGCTTTTTTTTTTGCTGATACATCTACCACTTCTCTGCGGATTTATTCTCCATTTCTATAATAGCAGATCACCTAGAGAGTATTTTTGTAATGATAACATTAAATTCAATAGCAGAAGTAATGATTAAGCGAAGGGGATAGGATCTAGAGATAAAAAATGGGATTAAAGTAATAATCAAAAGCATTTGTTCTAATAATTAATTTTTCATTTGTGAAAGTAAATAAATTATCCGTCCCGCTCAATGAAAAACCTCTAGATATTATTTTTTACGACTGTAATCGATAATTCGAAATAAAGACCGGTGGGTTGGACATTTCGTTTGATTTTTTTTAATTGTTTTTTGTTTATGGGGAATCACCTGGTGGCACCTGGCACGGGATCCAATCCCAGAAAACAAATTCCCATTTCCGTTGCGTGACAGAAATCATCGCGTGACTATTTTCTCCTCGAGCTCTAACTCCCACTGGATAAAAACCCAATAATTTTCAACTGCATTGTCCCATGAACAAATAATTATTGCTATAATTTATTGCAAATCGTCAAGCTCAAAAATTTATCTTTACTTTCTATGAAAGCCACTGACGCTAATTTTATATTTGAAAACAGTAAAAAAATATCTTTAAAAACCGAGGAAAAATTTGTTAAACAATTGCGAAGGAATAAATAAATGAATTTCTACAGAAATATGAAAAATTAATGGAAATCGTTTATTTTTTTAATCTACAGTTTTTTTTTGTGGGAGATATTTTCTTTGTTTATCTGGATGATAATATTTATAGCGTTAGCATTAGTTAATTTATAAATAAATTATATTTGATTTTTCGGTCGATGAGGTCGTTTTCCATTCCAGTCAGAGGCTCGTGTGAGCACTTTTCCCAGTCCTGTCTCGACGTCATCGAAGCACCAGTTTCCTTTTATCTCGAAAACATCTGGAATTAAATTAATTAATTAATTAATTAATTGCTGCGTTGAGCAACAATTAAAACCTAAAATTCAATTCACATTTAACTCCTGGTTTTTTTTATTTCTCTTGGAGAATAAGTGGATCTTTTACAATTGGTAATTAATGCAGTAATTATATTTACTTACTGGCGATGCATGTCCACACATTACTCATACTTTTCAGAGTTATTTTGTCTCCTGTCTTTTTGACAGCTGTCAATCTCATCGCGACTTCTCTGTCAAGTAATCGTTGAAGAATCGCTAGTGCCTGTTTCGATACTGATGTTTCTTTCGAGTTCCAGAAGAACTGAAGCAATTTAATCTGCAATTTAATTTGACTATTCGAATTATTCATTGCTTTCGAATAATTAATTACTGACTCATTAATAATATTCCAATGTAATCTTTAATTAAATTTATTAAATATAATTTTGGAATTTCCTTCGAAGTGTTTTGATAATTACAAAATTGAGTTTTTGGGAATTGGAGGAAAAATTGGAGGGAAAATTATTGGAAAACTCACGAAATCTCGTTGACACTCTTCACTTGACAGCTTTTCATCCAATTCTTTGAGAACCTCTATCGTAGGTAGAGGGAAAGGAATGTTATAGGTCTGAGAAAAAGATTCTCCAAAATTTCCACCTTGCAATGCTTCCAAATTTTCTCTGTCTCTCTTCTGCTCCAGCAAGAGTTTCAGAATTTTCTGCTGAGTTCTCCGGATTCCGTCCAGCTTATCGTCAATTTTCGTCTGAAAATCATGGAGTTCTGCAAAATCAAACGAAAATCGATAGCAACATTATCAATAAATACCACGTGAAATTTTATTTACAAATCTCTACCGACTTTTCATATATAAAAGTTTAATTTTCTCAATTTTTCCAATGAAATATTCGAATATTCGATCAAAAAGGGAATGAGGAAATGAGGAAATGAGGAAAAACGAGTTTTTTTGTTGAAAAAAAAATGATAAAAACGGTGGATAGATGGAATAATTAATTTATTATACCTTGTTTGGTGGCAATTGCATCAGACATATCAAGAGGATCAGCAAAAACCCTGGGAACTTTGGCAGGTGGTGGACAATCAGAGGCAGTGAACTCCTCATCATCATCGCTAGGTGGTTCATACTTGAGGCCAATTTCCTCAGGAGGTGCCCCAGGAAAAATCCCATTCTGAAGAATTTTCCATAGTTCGCAGAGATTTTCATCGTCCATTCCAGTTTTAATCGCCCAAGATCGAAGCTGCGATGCTGTTTTACTCGGATTTGGCTCCATAATCGATCACTCCAGACAATTGTCAACAAATTTCATAACCTTCTCCAGGTTTTCTAGATAGAGATAGATTGAGAAAGATGGAAGTAAAAAATCTGTCGGCAGCGCGACAGCTGCGACGTTCGTTACGACACCGCCCTGTACTACACTGCGCAGTTCAACGTTAATTGAAAAAAAAAAGCAATAAACAAATGATAATTGATAAATAATTTGAGATGCATCGATTGCCCCAGGTGCTACCCATTTATTTATGCATTCAGAATCATTAATTCATAATAAAATGAGACAGGAAACCATTTTTTTATGTTTAAATAAATTATTGGTGGTATACTGTGCAATGATAAAATAACAAATGAAATAAATAATATATGAATAGTGACTAATGAATTAAACAGATTTAACTCTGCGGTTCTTTTTTGTCAGTTTTGCAATTCAATGGTAATAAATTATTCGAATGAATTATTGTTATTGTACGATGCAATAGTTAAAGTTGAGTAATAAATGAAATAGTTGGAAGTTGTAGGTATTTTTGGAAATTTTGCAGTGAATAAAAAATTATTTTCATTTCAATTTCTTCCACAGGTTTTGGAGTGCAAGGGGAGAAGAGAGGATTTATGGGAGAAATTGGGAAGACCTAGGAATATTGTAGCTCCAATGGTTGATGCCAGTGAATTAGCTTGGAGATTACTTTCACGTCGACATAATTCTCATCTCTGCTACACCCCAATGTATCACGCACAAGTTTTTTGCAGAGACTCCAAATACAGAAAAGATGCACTCGCCAGTTGTCCAGAGGATCGACCCCTGATAGTTCAAGTAATTAAGATTCATCTCCATTAATTAAAATATTATTATTTTAATTGATTAATTTCGATCGATCGAAAAATTGGAGATATTGATAATTTGTTCATTTTTATTTCATTCTTTTTTACTTTGCAATAATTAGAATACTATATGATGAGTGAATGTTATGGAGAAATGACATTAATTTTTCATAGCTTTTTTTGTTCTCAGTTCTGTGGAAACGATCCCATTACTTTGTTGGAGGCAGCGCAATTGGCCGAACCTTTTTGCGATGCAATCGATATTAATATCGGGTGTCCCCAGGCCATAGCCAAACGAGGACATTACGGAGCTTTTTTGCAGGACGATTGGGAATTATTAAATAAAATAGGTAACAATCTCTTTTCGATCTCATTTCGGCAATCGACAGCCCTAGTAAATTAATTTCATTATTTTACAATTAAAAATTAATTTGAAAAGAAACGAAGATTCAGTTTCACTCTGAATAATTGTAATAATTTTAATTCTACTGAGAAATTATTGATTATTGTTAAATTATTGTGAAGTACTATTATTGAGTGAATTACTTGCAGTGAAAACATTGAGTGAAGGACTGAAAATCCCTGTGACGTGCAAGCTTCGGGTTTTTCCGGAAATAGAAAAAACAGTGGCTTATGCTAAAATGTTAGAGTCATCGGGCGCTAAATTATTGACAGTTCATGGAAGAACGAGAGAACAGAAGGGCCCGATGACAGGTAAAATTAATTAACAAACGTTTCCCCAGATAAATGCCAAAATCACTCGATTATCATTATTATTATTATATTATTGTTATTACTACTATTTTAATTACATTATATTTTAATAGGTCTAGCTTCCTGGGAGCACATAAAAGCTGTTCGTGAGGCAGTGAAAATTCCGGTATTTGCCAATGGAAATATCCAGTGCCTCCAGGACGTGGACAGATGCATTTCGGAGACTGGAGTCCAGGGAGTCATGTCGGCTGAGGGTAATTTATTCAATCCCTTGATTTTCGAGGGTTCTTATCCCCCGAGTTGGGAGCCAGCCGAAGAGTATCTGAATCTAGTGGAAAAATATCCAGCATCCCCTGCTTTTATTCGTGGGCACTTATTTAAATTATTCCAACACACGTAAGAGCTGTTTATAATTATTTTTCAATCAGGGAATACTTCTTTCTCGACATGGCGTTTTATCATTTTATCGTTTATGGACCAATTTCTTTTTATCTTCATTTATTTATTGCTTGTAGATTATGTTTACCAGAAAATTCAGAGGAGCGATCGATTCTAGCGGGTAATTCCAACATGGAGAATTTTAGAGCTGTAGTTTTGAAAATGAAGGAGAGATATTTACCTTATCACGAGGGAGAAATCGTTTGGCAGTCGAAGCCAGAAGGTGATTATTCTTATTAAATCGTTTGATTGAATATAAAATTTATAGGGAAGAATCCATTGGGAAAGTACTCGTAATTTTTGTTTTTTTAGATTACAACCTGGTGCTTCCTCCATGGCTCTGCCAACCGTACGTCAGAGACTCGCCAGAGGATCACATGAGCAAAGTGGAAGCGAAGAGAATCGAAATAGTGAGCTAATCTTGTTTTATATCTTTCAAATTCATTTCAATTTTTAATATTTCATCAATTATAAGGAAAATATGGGGGTGAAAAGGGATTACCTGGACGACGAGGGGAATCTAGTCTCCAGGAAGAAGATGAAGAAACTGAGGAGAATCGCCAGACGACCTCATCGGGGACCCAGTGTCAAAAAAGGCTCCGATCTCTGCACCAGCTGTCCTAATCCCGTGGTAAATTCCAATTAATCGTCTCTCCATCTAAAACAATAATTGTAATTCTTTAATTAATTATAGAATAATGAATTTTGCTTGTATCCCCAGGGAATGAAGTGCGAATACAAAATGTGTCGTCAGTGCTGTAGAAATAAATGTTACAATGACAATCTCGACTGTTTGGGCCACCGAAATCTCACGAAAACACGTCGAAAAATGGCAGTGGAGTTCAAAAAACAGCGAGGAGAGGAATACTCCACTGAAAAAATCATTAACACCGATGATTAATTAAATATTAATTACTTTTAATAATGAAAAGACGATAATTTTCTTTGCCGTCGTTTCATTTATTTCTTGCAATCCCGATTACCTTTTTAACGAATAAACTTGTCAAATTTTTATTATTATTTTTATTATTAATCCTTATGACTGAATGATTAATTCGAGTAATAATCATTTTTTATGAGTGGTTTTAATAATTATAATAATCATCGCAAAACTCTTTGTGATGGGGAAATTTCCTTTAAGAGATCGTTTATTCGATTGTTTTCATAATTTAATTACATAGTAGTTATTTATGTACATAGGGTTGATAGACTGTACACGTTTGTTTTTACACAATTAAAAATCAATTAATCTACGCTGAGGTGGGAGACAAGAGTCTCATTGAATTCTCTATTAAATCTGCGGCCTTTACACTAATTTTCTGACTCGTTCTCTCGTCGCTAGTTTCACTCGCCCAGGACTTCTTGCTGCACAGCATCATGATCATCAGAATTGGTAGGTGAATCAGGGAAAAACGAAACAGCTTTCGAGAACTCGCGCTATCCGATTTCTTATTGAACTCCCAAGCTAGAAATAACAAAAATTTTCAGCTATTGTTTACAAAAGTTTAAAAGTTACTTCGGGGCATTTCTGGGCAATTTGAGATGATTAACCGAACGAATCTATTTTAGATTGCCAAAAATAATTCACCTAAGTAGAGGAAATATGCATTGAGAGGGGTGGAAGCAGCAGCAAACCACCAGTTAGTGACGTCCAACATCGGTGACAAGTATGACAGTCCCATCAATACCCCAGTGTATCTCAAGGCAGTTCTTCTGCAAAGTCCTGGATTGGTGACAGCCATCATCCTGTAGCCAGCGCGACTGTAGTCAGGCCTGAGATTCCAGGAGAGAGCGTTAAAGTGGGGAAATTGCCAGGCGTACAGCATCCCAGACATCACCCAAGCTCCAGGTGCTAATAGATCACCTGCACAGCCTGCCCAACCCATCAGCGGTGGAATAGCACCGACTAGGTCAACAATTGATCATTATTCTCATGTTAAACATTAACGGATCTCATTTTTAAGTCTAGTTAAGTTTATTTATTATTATTTACCAATAGATCCAACCCACGTATTGAGAATTGACACTCGTTTCATTGGTGTATAAATCATTGTGTAGAGCACCAAATTAGCTGCGCCGAGGGCAGCTGTCAATCCATTGACTGTGAAATATAGAATTGACAGTCCAGTGATACCAGAAATTGCTGCGAAGGCGACAGCATGTGCGGGTCTAGAATGAAGAAAATTAATTTCTCATTATTTGCGGGAAATGACAGTCAATGGTTTATATTTAAAGGAAGGATAACTATTTATCATTGCTTACGTCACATGGCCCCGTACCAGGACTCGATTTTTCGTTCTCGACATTTGAGCATCGAATGGCACCTCAAAAAATTGATTTATCGAGTTTGCTGTGGCTGATACTAGACCAGTCCCAAGGGCACACGTGATGAATGTCTGGGGGTCAAAAGCACCTGGGGCTAGGGCATATCCTCCCATCGTCGTAATTACAACCAGAGCTGAAAAAAATGATATAATTCGTCTAGAAATCAAAATAAAGAAAATGAAATGGGAAATTTTCTTAGCACAGAACAGGTGGGAATTTATTGAAAATCATTATTACCAGAATTGATTGAAATTTGTTTTGGATGTGAAAGGAGGAAAATACTCACATGTTAAACGGATTTTTGATAATGCTAGACAGTGTTTGTGGATTTTACTAGATTCCAATGCCAGTTTATTCCATCCCTCTGAATTTTTGGCATTTTCAATACTGGCGTCAAGTTTTTTCGGTATTAATTGCGCTGGAGGTATTAAATCCTCTGGACTGAATTTTAATTTTGTTTTTGAGGAACTCGAAACTGTTATCCATGGTGGCTCCTGGAGGGACTCTTCTTTTATCACAGGTCTCGCAGAGTACTGAAGAAACAATGAATCGAATGACTGATTACTGATGGATTTTAATAAAAAAGATCACTCACTGAAGTTGTTAAAATATTGTTGCAACATTTTGTGAATCTGCAGAGCCTCAAAGAAGACGATAAAAATATCATCATAGAAGAATTCCTAGTCCAACATCATCCTGCAAATAAAAAATCCATAATAAAGTGAGAAAAAACACAAAAAAGTGAAATAAAAAAATAAAAAGACATTTTTTTAGTGCAGTAAGAGAATTTCCATGAGAAAAACACAAACTTTTTGACTTTCTGTCAATTTGGCAGTGAAAAATTACCTCACGTTTACTGATGACATAATCACAGGGGATATTTCGAAAATAACCTCAAAATTCACAAAAATAAATTTATCTGGAAGAAGATTGATTAAATGAAAAATACGCACCCTGAATAAATGCCTAGCATCAGCTTAATTGCTGAGGAAATGTTTCCATCCAATTGTCACGATGGAAATATCAATAGAAAATACTTTTCCACTCTAAAGAATAATTTTGCATTATGTCAGTTCGTAAACACGTGAATTTTGCTGAGAAATTGGCGCTGAAGTCAATCGCTGCTACCGGCGGGAAAAAATTGAATATTCAAATAATACGAGACAAATCTGTGGAAAATTTAATCATTCATGAAACTTTGAATTTCGAAAGATGAAATTTTCCTCAAGGGATCATGTTTAAAATATTTTTTTAATCATTCCTTTTAATTGCGCTCATTAACTAAAACTAGGCTAATGAGGAATCATTCTTAATTCTACGCAATATTCCATGATAAATGAAATGTAAATGCCATCTCGAGAAATAAAATAAAGAATTTCGTGATGAGTCGATCTTATATGAATAATTTTCTAGATGTTCCACTGATTCTTCAAGACCACGGAAAAATTGTCGGATCCCACAGTACAAATGCCATCTGTTCTGTAAAATTGTAAAAGTATTTGCGATTTCGTTGAGTTCTCGGTAGAAATTGCAAATTTATCCGCAAAACGCACGAATACTTGTCGAGTATTGAATTCCTGAATTAATATTCATCGCATTGAGTTGAGAACCGTAAAAAAAGACATCATCGTCTTTAAAGCCTTTGAGAAGAAAATAAATACCTTGAGTAATTCCTTCAATTAATTAAGATTGGATATTAGAATTATTATTATTTCTTACCGCACCGAAACTTTCCATTGACATGACGTAGATTTTGCCAGCTGTTAATTGCCACGGCCTTGAACTCCTCATCATAATTGGGATAATCATCAGCTGTAATTTAGGAGGCAATCGGTACCATTCGCTCTGGTACCTAGAAATGCCAAAAAAAAATTTCATATCTCATTTCGATTAATTTTGAGTGCCCGTCCGCCTCAAATTTTCAAAATATCCCGATCCGAGATTTCGGGGAATCCCCAGATTCTATGGTGATTATTGTATTGTGCGGTGATGGTAATTGCAGATTACTAATTACGACATGTTGGTAATTACGTTCCGGAGGGGAATAATTACTATTGGCATATGATCATATGAATATAAAATACTCCATTTTCTTGCCCACTCCAACATACGTTACAAGATGGCCGCTGAGTTCTCCACTGACCAAATAAAATACTAATAATTATTTTCACAACCACAACACGCACTTGTCAGATAATTTCCGACATGACGTAGGTAATTTTCCATTTAATTTCAAATTAATAATAAAATTAGTATTTTCACCGCAATAATCAAAGAGGATTGACTAAAGTAGAGGCTCAGTGCTAGGGGTTTGAGTGACCCCAGCGGCATCGTAGTACTGCACCCGAAGAGAGGGAGGGCGCAACACGGAATGAGGGACCAGTCGACAGGATGAATGTTATTTTCTGCGTTACGAAATTGGTATTCACGGAAATTTGACAATTTTATGGAGTCATTTAAATTTTTTTCCCCCATGTGACCCTTAATCAAATCCAATTAACCCTTAATCAAATTCAATTTACTGCTACTGAGGCAGTTACCGAGTCGGCTGACGGGCAGACACCCCTATTGCGTCCTTCTCTTGGGGTGCAGTACAACGATGTCGCTGGGGTCACTCCAACCCCCAGAACTGAGCCTCTACTTTAATCAATCCTCTTTGACACTAATCACCAAAATAATGATCCTCGAATCCCCGGGATTCCCGGGTATTTAAGGGTAAAAAATTGAGGAAGACTGGTCTGACTGATAATTTATTTCGATAAATTACAGACGTGGACAGAAGGACATGTTCATTTTTAATGAGGAGAGTATGTCCTAACCAGCTGATCCAAAATAAATGTGTGATTGACGCAAAACATGCGAGTAATAGTCGGATCATCTCACTCGATTGAGACGCTATTTTGACAATTGCCTGAGGTCATACCAACAGATTATTGTTTATTGAACCTGAGTACATGATTTTATGTACTCACGGTCATTCCAGTAAATACCACGAACGCCATGTTAGTACCAACGACAATCAGAAGAGCAATAGTGTAAGAAGACTCCAACTCTTCAGTAAATCTGTCGATTATTGCATTAAATTTCATCTCAAGTTATAATTTATAAAACATTATGAATTTTCCGAGGGAAATTATAAACACGATCATGAATCTCCATGAATTATATAAATAAATGGGACAAAATTTATTTATTTAAGAAATGATCATTCTAAATTTATTATCAATTATATTCACGAATATTTATTCATTTATGCATAATAATAATCTAATTGTCCTAAAAATTAAAAATGAATTCAAAATTTTGAGATCGGTTTCCCTTTTCTTTTTTATTACTAGAAATATTAGTAGAAAGATATTTATTTTTCCACTTTACCTGAAAATTCTAGTTTGCAAGTCAGAACATTTTTTTGTGTGAATAATGACTATTTGAAAATCATCTGATGTTTGTTCAGTATCTTTCACGGTTTTGTTGATGGCTAATGTTTCCAATTGCGATCTGGAAAGCAATGCGTCATACACGCGATTTAACTGGAATATGTTGGATTTACTTACTGGAGAATTTGAATCATTCCGCAAGCATGACTGATGAGAGTCGCAAATAAATTATCGAAAAGAACAATATAGGCTAGACCAACGGGCACCGTTAAATACGCATGAATCAATAAATGGACGTAATATTTGTTTTGATCGATGAAGAATTCAGTTTGATACAGAAAAATTCGAGGGCGAGACTCATTCAGCGGTTTGATAATATCCAGAATTTTTGGAATTGCAGGTGAGCAAAAATAAGCCAGCAGACACGAGTAGATTGACACTATTTTCCATAAAAATGAATGAAATAAAAAAATTAATCTATTGAGAAACTAATTGAAGGAACAGATGAGAGATATATGATAAAATCTCCAATCAATCCTTTTTATTTCTATTTATTCCTCGTATATTTTCTCATTCTACCGCTAGTTTTTTTTTCGTAAAATAACATCTTCTCATACGTATACGCAGAATTGATCTCCAACAATATTTATGAGAAAATAAATTAAATAACGTGAATTACTCGTACCTGTGTAAAATACATTTAATCGTCGTGCCCTGTCTGAATATTGATGAAGAACTTGAAGATCGCTCTCTGATTCCAAGCCCTGCCAATCGCTTTTAACAATTATTAACAAACGTTTCATCTGTAGAAAATGATAAGTCAATAATTTCAACATCTCAAGGTAAACTATAAAATAATTACGTGGTCTTCCATGATTATCCAATTGATGAATTTCGTCAGACCTATTACGTAATATCCCAAGTTTAATAGACATTCAATGACGAGATCGAAATCATTCAATGACTCAATTAATTTTATTATCTGATGCAAATAATACAAATACAAAAAATTGATTAAAAGGTACTAAACCTCTCGTTGATATAATCAATACACTACAAATTCGTAAAAACACTGAGAAAGGTACCTCTGACCCTGTAATTCACTGGAAAATAGAATAGATTGTGAAGGAATTATATTAAGAATAAATAATAAAATTTCATATTTATGTATTTCACATAGATATGTAAATTATATATATTTCCAGCGGAAATATTCAAATATATGTATTGGACAGAAGTAAATTACTCCAGATATTTATCAAATGATCTATAAACAAAATGAATTTGTTAACACTTAAATACCTTTGGTATTAATATAGAGCAGACCATCAAAAGGGTTAAACATCTGAAGAAGATTTTCTCCTTCGAGGGTCGAAAAGGCCAATGTCCGATGCACTGTAAGGAATATTTTAAGATTCGATAATAGGGGGAATCGAAAATGTCGGTCATGATTTTTCTGATCGGGGGATGCACAAGGTTCAACTGAAATATCCAGTTTATAAAATGTTCGATTGAATGATGGCAAATGCTGAATTCACACTGGCAAATCTAAATCTTTCAACCCCTTCGGCGCCCTCGAGGGCAATAGAGTCGATGAATATTTGATAATGGTAAATCTCTCTTGCCATCGACACATCAAAGTAGAATGAAAATACGAGTAACGAGGACTAATTGCTTTCTAGAGAATCAATTACGTGAATAACTGAGGAATTTAATCTACATCGATTCGATTTTCAGACAGACTTAGTACCGAGGGGAAACTTTATTACCATTTTAGTAATTGTACCACGTTGTGACAATTCGCAAAGTCTCACCAGGAAAGACTCGTAAAAATTGCCATTTCTTCTCAGTTTTACTCACCTTTCACTGTCATTTGCTCATAAAACGGAAATTTTTACCATTTTTCCCTCTTCATGGAAGTTTTAACCTAATTTACTTGTGAGTAATTAATCGCCAGCTTGACTTCAATAACATTTTAACCAAACTTATAGAATATGGAAAATAACCAATATGACAAAACCTCAACAGAATGGTAAACGAAAAAACGTGATTATTATTTAGTTTCTTCTCGTTAGAAATAGTAGATTGACATGCCATTCTGGGTTGATGAAAATATTTCCTAGCCACGGAGTTCCTGATGAACGCATAATTAACGCATTGAATTCAGAACCGTAAAGAAAGACATCATTGTCTTCAAGGCCTTCGAAAAAAAAATAATTGCGTTGAATCATTCGATTATATAATAAGATAATTAATTATTCCATCATTCTCTTTACCGTTCCGAAACTTTGCATCGACATGACGTAGATTTTTCCAGCTGTTATTTCACATGGTTTTAGACTTCTCATCATAATTGGGATAATCATCAACTGTAATCTAGGGGGCAATCGGTACCATTCGCTCTGGTACCTGAAAATTACAATTAAGGCTCGGGTGGATTATCTAGAAAAGATAATTTACTCCGAAATTCGGATTCCTAATTCCTTTGGCAATTAACCCTCTTTTTCAATAATTGTTAGCTAGCGTTCTAGCGGTTGTCAACAACTAGGCCGCTAGCTAACAATTATCGGAAAAAACGATTAATTGACGGAATAATTAGAAGTCCCAATTTTGGAGTAAATTATCTTTTCCAGACAGTCCATCCGGGCCTTAAACCCAAATAATTGTCTCTAATCTAAGAGTAACAAATTATATTGTTGCTCTTTATTACTCACGTGGATATAAAAACCTTTTCACTTTTAACAATGAGAATATGTCCCAACCAGCTGATCCAAAACAAATGAGACAGGGCAGCTAGGGAGATGAATATTATTCTGATCATCTCGTCCAGGCTGGATATTTTAATAACAACCTCACAACGTGACAACAAATTATTGTTGTATGTTAATAAATTCCAACAATTGCATTCGGTACTCACTGTTACTCCTGCGAATACTATCAGCAGCATATTAACACCAACGATAATTAGAAGAGCAATACTGTAGCATGACTCCAAATTTGTGACGAACCTATGTTTAATGAACAATTTCCAGTAATTTATACTGTAAATTAGCGGGTTCTTCTATAAATTGTTCTAACATCTACAAAATTTATGCTCTAAATTGGGGCTCTCTTTTCAATTTCAAATTATGAAGAAGGATATTTTATTTAAAAAGGTCATAATTTTAGATAAGACGTAGCTCACATGAGAATCCATGTTTGCAAGTCGGAACATCTTTTTATGCAATTCATTGTTATTTGGAAATTATTCACGTGCAGATTTTGCATAGTATAATTAACGTGTATTGTTTCCAATTGCGATCTGGAAAGCGATACAGTCTTACACATGATTCAACTAGTGTTTTTTGGAATTACTTACTGGAGAATTTGAAACATTCCGCATGCATGAGTGATGAGAGTTGCGAATAAATTATCGAAAAAAACAACATAGGATAGACCAACGGGCACCGTTATATAGGCATGAATCAATAAATGGATGTAATATTTGTCTTGATCGATGAAGAATTCAGTTTGATACAGAAAAACTCGAGGTCGAGACTCATTCAGCGGTTTGATAATATCCAGAATTTTTGGAACCGCAGGTGAGCTAAAATAAGCCAGAAGAGAGGAGTAGAGACCAACTGTGTATAATAAATACAAAAAAAAACGCGAATTATTCAATTTATTCCAACAATAGGCGAAAGACCCATTCGAAATTGATCGATCACCTCTTTTTTCTCAGAAAATAGATGGAACATCCATTTGAATAATATAAATCTAAAATATCTACCCACTTTCATATATTTTTCAATTATTATAATAACTAAATAATTTTTATTATGAATTAATCAATCAAGAATCCATTGAAATATATTCAAGACAGAATTCAAGATATTTCAGAATATATTTTTCAAATCGTTCTCCGTACATTTTTCTAATTTTATTTATTTATATGTTTTATATAATATATTATATAATAAAGATAAAAATTAGTCCACGATACCTGCATAGAAAATGTTCCATCGTCTTGCCCTGTTCGAATGGTGATGGAGTATTTGGCGTTCACTTACCAATTTTAAATCATTCCAGTCCTTTTCAACAACTAGTAATAAATGCTTCATCTAAAACGAGCGATTTAGTAATAACTGAGAGATCTCATCTGGGATGGTTATAAATTATATTACATGATCTTCCATGATAATCCAGTTGAAGAATTTTATTAGACCGAGCATGTAACATCCCAGAATCAGTAGGCACTCGACGACCAGATCGAAATCGTTCAATAATTCAATCAATTTTATTGTCTAATTCGAATGATGAATTTGTTAAACCCATTTATTACTAATTTACTAACAGGTGGGAGACAATTAATGGGATCGTTTGGAATTATTTAAAAAAATCGACAACAGCAAACATTTTATTTATAATTCAACGAAAATAAATGAATGATTATTGATGATAAAATTGATGATAAAATTGGTTTTTTTCTAGGTATAAATTATTACTATAGATTATTTTTTCAGATGAAATACCAAAATAGAAATAAAAATGGTACCTTTGGTATAACGATTGTACTGATTATAAAAAGAGTTAATGATCTGAAGAAGAGTTTCTCCTTCGACGATTGAAAGGGCCAATGTCCGATGGACTGTAGGGAATATTTTAGAATTCGATAATGTCTAGAGTCGAATATATCCCCCATGACGACTGCTGATGCGACTGAATCCTTTGAGCTGTCAATTAAAATCTTGAACGCCAGCTCATATCGTATTCTGTTAGATACTAAAAAATGCCCATTTTTCATCACGACTTACAGCCAAGTGTCTCGTTGCAGTAATTGCGCCGATAAATTTTTTATGAGAAACGATTTCTCTTGACATGCTGTGAGGGAACAAAGTCGAGAATATCTGTCTAGAGTCAAACGAAGACTAGAGTTCACAACTTCTGAAGTTCCGAAATTTTTATTTCATTCCCCTATTGTATCCCTCGATACCAGATAAACTTAACAAATTAATTTAAATGTAAATAAACTTACAAGAGCTTAATAAATATCTATTCACATTTTACAAGTAATTCATGATTGTTCTTGTTGCAGATTATGCAGGGGAAGAGTTATGACTGAAGCCTGAAAAATAATTACTCTAAGGATTACTGCAAAGTGAAAAGTTCCAGACTCTTGAAAACTTGGGGTAATCCTGTAAGTTCAATGTTAATGAAATAAATGAAGAATGATGAACATAATCATTGGAAATTGAAAATCGACATTAATGTTTCAAATCACTGAGTAGAAAGTTCGAAATTATGTGAATTATTTCACATTCTACGGAAGAAATCGAAAGGAAAATAAAAAGTTTTCGTCTTCTGACTGGTTTAGATTTAAATAATCGATCATTTTTCCATACCTTTTACATTGTTGATGATAAATAATAATTGCAACTTCCCCTTTTTTGGGACTTACAATACAAATCGTTCAACACAAACTCAATTTTGTTCTTCGTCGTCTCACGCACGAAAAAAACAAATGGAACCAATGGAACCAAAAAAAGTGAAATCCGTACCTAATCCAATTACAAGTAAGAAAGGTAATTATGCCGACTTGAATTATAAACAAGAATAATTAAATACCAAATATCAATCTACAAAAATTAATTTGTTATATACCACTTATAGGAAGAATTTAGCGAACGTTACAAGAATGTCACAATACAGAAGACGAAGACGTACTGAGGAATTAAGCTTCCCTTCACCCCATACCTAGGGGGTTGCTAGGGTGCATTCAACACATACGACCTGTTACCATCAGAGTAAAAAACCCTAATCCAATTTTTCTGAAATTTTATTCGAATTTTCAAACCCCCCAGTATTTTTATCACGTGAATCACAATTGAAAAATATAAATGACAAAAACCAGTTATTTGATAAAAAAAAATTAACTGAAACTTCATAATTACTATTAAATTATCATCAAATGGCAGCACAACGGCAAAAATGAAATGATCAAATTATAATCATAACAATTTTTTCAGTGCAAAAGTAACCAGTTAAATTAATTAACAAGGATTAAATGAAGTTGTACGGTAAATTTGTGGAATAAAAATACATTTTATTTTCACACCTTGATTCACTAGAAATTATATACACTTCTGCTTTTTATCAATTATTCATATCATTTTCATCAATTATTCATCATTTCCTTACGATAATCTCCACTTCATACACGATATTATATAAAGAAAGTTTTTTTTTCAACTCGCATTATTATCCATTCATAAAACTAAAACGATAAGAAATAATATGGGAGCAATTTCATTTTGTCTCAATAATTTATAAAATCCATAATAAATTACCAGAGAATCGACGTTTATTCGTAATCGTTTGTTTAATTTACAAGGACGGAGGGAATTTTCATACTGAAATGAGAAAAAAAATCGAGAGTAATTAACAATTTAATTAAGTACGTTGATTTTAATTATTTGGCAGGAGAATACTTGGGAAATCGAGTGAATTCAACATTCAATCCTCTGGTTGTAAAAGTCAATTTAAAAATGTCGCAGCTCCTCTGTTTATAATTAAACATAGAAAAAATATGTTGGCTAGTTGATACATAGATTATCGTTATTTTTCTCAGAACCTTTTTTTTTCCCTTTCATATTTTTTTCCGCTGAATCTTCTGGTTAGAAATAAGCTACCTAGTATATACAGAGCTTTTTTGTTAATTACAAGCAAAGTAGAAAAAAAATTACGCCTGGAGGGTGATTCTTACTCATTCCTCATCCTGCCTTTTTTTTATTGAACGATTAGTTGATCAATTAAGTAGTGAAGTGGTAAAAGTTTAATTTTAGAAAGAATGGGATTCTAGAGGAATATCTATCAGCAACTGTTAATTTTTTCAGGATATTTAATTCTGAGACTTTCAATTATCGAATTAATCAATCAAATTGTTTCTAAAGAATGTCAGAGAATTACTGAATTATTGAAATTTCATTTTCTAATTAATCATTGAATTCTGGACTTTTTCCTGAATAATTAATTCTCACCACTCCAAGACTGAATGAATCCACATAATTATTTTTCTCGTCTCTGAGATCGATCTTCGTGGGTGACAAAATCGTCCTCCAGGTTAATATCCCATGGTTTCTAAAGAAGATCACGATTAATTACTCCTTTCTATAATTTTTGATGGTGTATTGGGTTTGGGCTCGATTCAAGCAGGCGTATTTACAAGATTATCGGTAATGAGATGTCACTGAGATCCCAGGGCTGGGAAATTATTGACTTCTGTCTGCTCGAGGACTGGACCTGAATCCCCTGTGTACGATATACGAAGACGCATTCGCAGATTTCCCTGTAATTTATTAATTGTTCCATTTAAAAATTACCCACAAAGGGAATAATTAACATTTTTCATTCACAATGTTTCAACAAAATTCATTATCTCAACGAATGATTAATTCAGCACTGAGATTACATCTGATGTATCAATTAACTGTGGAATTGCTTGTTCATTAATTGATTACTGAATACTTGATTAATTCTTACTGAATTCATGTTCGAGACTTTCAGCACTTGAGTAACTTGTCCAGAGGGTGAGATAACAGTGCTGGATGGTGGCAGCATTTGCAATTGGAATGTCTAGATGAAAAAGTAATAATTAAAATCCAATAGAATTAATCATTAGAAATATTGAAACAATTATTCTATTTACTCGGGGAACCGCAGCTTCAAATCGGAAATCAGTGAGTGGAATTCCCCCTGAGTTGACAGCAGTCATATTGATGATGAGTAGATCAGGACTGTCCATTGGCCGTTCCATCTTGAAGTTTATTTTCAGTCCAGCTTTATCCAAAACTACAACACTTGGCACTTCTGGAATTCAACAGAACAAAAATGTATTCTTCTAGACTACATGACAAATACAAGATTTCCTCTGGTTTAAACTCACCATTTTGAACAGGTGCACTGAATAACCCATCAACCAGGAAATTTCCAGGGGATGTGGAACTGAAAATTGCTTCAGTTCCTGCGAGAGGTCCCACTGGACTCGTCACCTCCTCAATACCATTTCCAGTTGTCCCAGCGGACGAGAGGTCCAGACCCCCCAGAAGATCCAGAAGATCATTATTTCCAGCAGCTGGAGTTGCCACAGACCCTGGAGACGTCAGAGTTGGAAGGGATAATTCTGAGGAGCCCAGGAGATCCAAAAGCGCACTAGAATCACTAGCTGGTGTCACAGCTGTTTCCACTGGTTTTTCATCCTCGAGATCTTGTTCACCATTAACCAGTCCAATTATTCCATTCGCCTGGGGTCTAGCTGTCTCCATTGGGGGCATTCTCTCCAGCAGTGCTGGCCTCAAGTGATCGTATTTTCTGAATAATTGAGAGAACTCGATCCCTCGCTGCTGCAGCTCGATGTGCAAATTACTACCGAATGTGTCGATTATCTGGCGGATTTTCCTGTAAAATCGAGGCGTCCTACTGAAATAATTTCGACTGATATTCATGCATACGAGGACGGCAACGGGATTATAATTAAATGGGTAAATAATTTTTTTAATCGAATTTTTACTATTGAAATTTTAGTATATAATTTTTTTTTCACCAAAATGTGGGGTTCTAAAGGTTTTTATGGGTGAGAAGGAGAACTCACTCGTTTCCTCGTTGGAATCTTGTGCTGAGTTTTGTCAGAGACTGGAGAGTGTACTGTTTGGTGACAACAGTATTTTGAGGGCTCCAGAGGAGCCGTTGGTAAACATCTATCACATCATCTTCTGTCAGATTGACTGGAGCTTCCATGTCCTCTGGAGGTGGCCCATACAAAAGGAGATCACCGTATTCTCCAATGCACCACGTGGCAACCTGGGCCAGAGGCTGTTTATCAAATGTATCTCGTTCTAGGGCATGCCACAGGGCATTCACAGCATATCCCTGTTGAGTCTGGGCTTCGGAGATTAATTGAATGGTGCAGGCCACCACATCATCACGAACATAATTTCCAGCCTGAAACATAAAAAAATTGAATCCAAATTTTATCACTAGGTATCTCTTAAGACTCACGCCAAAATCACAGTAAAATTGACGCGAATTGATAATTATTTTTATTTCCGTATTGAATTTTTTAATTCTCATCGATTATAATGATAAACTTACAGCAACAAGAACTTTAAATAATGTTTCCAGATGCCAGCGTTTGTTCGGTGAATATCTCTCAGCAGACATGACAATATTGCTGCTACACTGAGCCTTAAACTCAGGATCAGCTTTTTCCAGGAACAGGAGAAGTTCCTTGATCATATTCCTGATGTTGTTCGTATTGACGAGAGCGAAACTTAATTCCATGGCACGCCTTCTGATCGACACGTCCGGGTCTTTCAAGCATTCCTGAGAATAATAATGAAGGATTAAGTGAATTTGAAAATTTTTATAACTCAAATTAATCCTCGTAATTACCAAAATTGTTGATCGATGTCTTTGAACAGCTGACGTATCCACATAAACAGTTTTCAAGAGTGTGTTAAGTGCAACATAACGAATATTTTTATCGTTGTTAAGCAAAAATCGTCCAAGAATATTGACAGCTAGAACTCTCAGGCCGCTTTCACTCTTGATGTCCATTATGGAGAGAACGGTCTCGTAGAGGATGGTGTTGCCAACGTTTTTACTGGTCTCAGTGTTAGTGGCGACTTGTGCAAGAATATCGTTCATGGCTTCAGAGGCATCGACATCATTTCTCCCCAGAATTCTCAACAGGCGAAGAATCTTCACTTGGAGAAATGGATCGGACACACCTGACACGTCGTGCTCAGGGGAGTACCCAGCGAGTATCAAGTTCTTCAAGATTCTCACCAGATTGGGAACGATCTAGAAATGATAATCGATAGTATTCCATTATTTTTCTATGACTTTCTTCATTTTTTCAGTGAAAAGACAGAGAGAATCCATCGAGAAAGAGTGCAGAACAGCTGCAATACGTTTTTCAACTGAAATAATAATCAATAAATGGACAATTTGGACTGGGAAATCGGGGGAAATAATTGACACTTAGGGAAAGCTCCTCAGACCGTGGGGAATAATTTTTCGTCGATTGTCTGTGCAAAATATTATTCCCACGTGTCCCAGAAAATATGGAACAGGAATTATGAAGTTATCATGCATCAAATTAATATTGATTGGATTAGTGGATTTTACCTCTCGATGGCCGCACTCCTAGAGACAGGATAGAATTCATTATTTCAACTATTTTTCCAATCGAGAATTTCTCCAATTCTTTAATTGAAGGTAAATATATATCTTCAGCAAAAATGGATGACGAATAATAGAAAAATACAAAAGGGATGATCGTATTTAATTATTTCAAGAGAACACTAATATTTTAGGGGGAAAGGGATTTTTCACGTCTCTTTAAAGATTAATTCGTCATAATTATTTATTGTAGCTGTGGGTAATTGATGGTAATGACAATTGAATTTACCTTTTTAAAATGGTTGAGGGTATCCACACTGTTTTCACACATTTCTGTAATTAACGTGACACCGGTAATGAGCACTCCATGATTTTTCTCAGTCAATAGACTCCTTGTTGCTGGGAGGAACATCTCCATCAGCTCTGGGACACGACGGATTATTCTAAATGCACAGAGTGCTGCCTTCTTACGGATATATGCGTTTGGTGATTTCATGAGTCTCTCGACTTCAGCTGCTAAATCACGAGCCATTTCTGGCGATGCTATTGCACCCAGGGTACATAGGGCTAAGCCAATTACAAATTGAGTCGGACTATTTAAGTCTCTGGAATGAATCAGGAACAAAAATTGTAAAAACTTTTTTCACCTCGAGGTAAAAATAGCAGTGGAAAATTCTCGTTGTGGAAATGTACTGTTAGAATATTTAATTGTTAAATTGAGAATTTTGGGTGAATTTTACGCACTGTTTCAGGCAATTGGTGATTAATAAATGGACATCCTGTCTCTCGTCGAGCAACAACATTGCTCCAAGATATCCTATACGCTTGTCTGTGAATCTTGGAGAGGCAATCAGCTTGAGGCACTCCAATTGACCAAAATGTGCTGGATAACTGTGATAAAATATATTTTTTTTCATAACTGTGATATTCATTCCGATATTTCTGTTTGATGGATTTGCACTGGTGATTTTTATGCGTCATTTTTTTTTCGAGTTATCGGAATTGACAATTTTTCTCACCCCAACATGTGAATGTACAGTAATTTTGCGATGTTTCTGCATCTCCACACACTGTCCTCCTCTCTAAATGTTGACCTGATGTACGCACACTCTTTATTCACAACTGTACGTTCTTCAGCAGCTGTTCTAGCTGCTCTTATCTGCCTTATCAAATCCCTGAGCCGCGTGGGTGCTGGCATTCTCACTGTTGATACTTTCGAAATTACCAAGAGGTATTATAAGTCGTGCTTTTGTGGTTAGAAGATGAACAGTGAGGCATTAGTGTACACCGCCGGTAGAATATTGAATGTACTCCATCGTAAATAAGTGAACAATTGCATTATTATCAACTCATTACCCTAACAATTCATTTAAAATCACTGGACATTTACATTTTTCCCTGCAACTTCTCATTATCACTGACGGCCATATCAATAAATTAATATTACTAATAAATATTGCAATCAATTTACAGTTAATTGAAATCGATAATTAGAATGAGTCAACGTAGATAATTTCTTTTATTCAATTTTTATGTATTGATCGGAAAAATGTCATGTTCATAAAGATGGTATTTTCAGAGTTAATTCAAATTTTATAAGCAAAAAGCTAATAGGAAATAGTGGGATGTAGAAAAAGGATAAATAAATTAATGAAATGCGTTGATTAATTTGGGAGTGTACCCACCTCTTTCAACAGCCTCATTCAAAGCCTGCCTTATTGAGGCCATGTTAAAGGCTGGGTTAAACCTGGAAACACAAGAACAGGTAAAATCCATGCATGTTATTGAACAAATTAGCAAAAATCAAGTCAACAACACGATTCAAAAAATAAACAAATAATCTTTCCTGATATTTTTAAAAATATCTCCACAACAAAGAACAATACGACAATTTGCATCAGGACATTTTCTCTAGATCTCGATGAGCTCTACAAAAAAAGTATTGATAAAAATTTTCCTATCTCCCTTCATCTCGGAGATATTCCCGAAAGAGGGGAGATTTATCCTGGAGTTCATTGACAGTGCAGTAATATTTGGTATTTGAGAGATAATTAATGGAATGAGGTGCTTCTTTCTGGTTGGTGTTAATTAATTGATTAATTACCCGTGTTCGGAGGCATTCATGGCTCACGACGTGTCTCCTGACGTGTTTCAACAGTTAAATACTGGAATATTTCGATTAACGAGAATCAGCTTCAAAGTGCACGGCTCGAGTCCTGGATGTCGTTATCGATAATTAGAGCAAAATTTCACATCGAGGGGGTGAGTAAAACAGTTTAATTCATTTGCAAGCAAAGAAAAGCGAGTGTGAAGAGATTTTTTCAGTGTGGAATAAAAAAAAGACTGAAAACACCTCTCCCTGGAATTCGAATAAGTCACATTTTCTCAAGATTAATTTTTTCCAAATATCTCGAGATTGAAGAAAAATAGCGAATTTTCGTAAAGAACTTTTCTGTAGTGTTTCCTTTTCTCTACAAAAAATGTCTGAATGAAAATATCGCTAGCTCCTTTCAATTCTGAGATACTCGCTAAGAACTGGCTTTGAAAAAATGACTTGTTTTAGTTTACCAATTTTTTACAAAATTTCTTTTCTTGTTAATAATTAGATTTCTCGATAAAATGAGAAATGAGGGGATTAATTGATGTTTCGCGATTTATTTCCCTCAGACTTTCTGGGGACGGCGAATAGACGAGTGGAGGCTAATGAAAGGTAAATTTGCAGGAAGAACTTCCAATCAACGATTAATCCAGTCAGCGGAGTTCCGGAGTTCGAGAGAAGTTTGTGATTATTCAACGAAAAACCGTTTATTTTGACGAGACAAAACAACGAAGAGAGGAAAATAAATTGGGAAGCGAGATAGATCGGAAAGATTTGACTAATCCTTTCACAGAAATTTTTTATGGTATCTTAATAAAAGAAAATTGTCTCCTAGTCGGATTTATGAAATGAAAACAATTGTCTGGAACAAATTGAAGGAAAAAAATTGTTTTCTCTGAATTTCCCAGTGGAGAAATATATGAAAAAAATATATAATAAATGGACTCTATATACTGTACCAATTTATTGAAGAATATGGAAAAAATTAAGCAATCCATGCATTTTTTAAATAATCCTTATGTGCAATGAATTTGATACACTTTTTTACACATTTTCAAAAAGAATATTTCCTAGGGGTAAAATTCTCTATAAATAGAGGAACGCCTGTAAAATTAATCGAAGATGATCACATCTTCGAATGATTTCCTGTACTGATAAAAAATTGTTCTGCCAATTGAATCGATGAATGCCAAATTAGTTTGAAGCAGAAAAAATGAATTTCCAGAGACTCTAGCGAATTCCAAAATATTTACGTTAATAATATAATTCCTATGACCTTGGGATAGATACAAAGTCCTGTAAATCGAGTAAAAATGAGTAAAAATGTGAAAAACAGCTGAGAAATGGAGTGAAACGTGTGGCAATGCCACGGTGTCACTCCAAGATGTGTAAACTTGGACAAATACGGTATTGGTGAGGCCAGGCCCCTCTTATCAGCGCCCTCCCTCACATCATCAACGAGAAAAACGTCACCTGTACCATTTACCAATTACCTGACACAATTAAACATCAATTAATCCCCGGACACCATTGATCTCTCATTTTTTTTTTACCCTTATTTCACTTTTCCTGGGACAGACGTACCTGAGCCGAAACACTGACACTAGAGTACTAATGGTCTTTTTTTGGTACCACAAAAACCATAATTATCAGGGGTTGAGGGGAGGGGGGTGGTTGCTTGAGGTTTGAAAATTTTGAGGTACTAATCACTGAAAAATCAACCGTCATCGGTACTTTTTCGATGATACTTGGATTTTTTACACCTCTCGGCTGTACTTGACTCGACTTGTACTTGACTCCACTGTACCCCCCACCACCAGCACCTGAAACACTTTTTTCTCTCCAACGTGCAAAGCAAAATGGCGGATGGGGGGGAGGTGTGGGTGGCACATTTGACGTTTTTTTTTTATTTCGAGGATTTTCGGCGGGCGTTGGTGGCTTTTGGGGGGTTATTTTAATCGTTCAGGGGGTAATGGGAGTTTGACAGGTGCGGAATTACCGCGGGAGGAGAACCGCTGACTCCAGCGGTGCCAGCAGATCAGGCGGGAAATTTGAATGGAGAAATCGGAGTCTCGTATAAGATTTTTTTATTTTTATTGTTTACGGGGAAATGTATGGGAAAATAAATGTCCGGTTGATGGAAAAACTGAATACTCATTTTTTCCCACTTTTCAGAACTTTATGAGTCACGAGGGAGATGAAGGTAAATCAAATATTAATCCGCCAATTGAATTAAATTTATTAGATATTATTTATTATGTATGTTATTAACGTTATTACTGAATAAGAAATAAATATTTAGTCATGGAAAATTATATTGACACTTCATCCTCATTAAAAATCTCTAGCTACTCCTGCATTAATTAATTAATTATTAATTACTGCGTTATCAATTCCCAAGTGAATAATCTATAAATATGAAACATATCACTTTATAAATATTGAGAAATTATTTAATATTTTACCTTCGATTTAGCTCTGGTGGCAAGACACTCCAGTCCTCAGTATCATAATACCCCCACATATCACGTACAAACCACGAAAAAAAAAATCCCAATGTACACAGAGTAAAAGTTGTTGAGCTCGAGTAATCACAGCGTAAACCAAATGAATAATCAATAAAACAGTTCCCTCGACGATGAAATTAAAGCCACGAAAAACTTGGAGACATTTTGAGAATGCATTAGAGCATCGATGGACGATTGAAGAGAACGAAACGTGAAGAATTCGCTTCCCACTTTCTTATCTCTTATCTCCTCTACCTGTGCTATCACTGGGACTATTTCTGATTCATTATCGCCTGAGAGAGAAAAACTAAATGACATAAAATTTTATTACTTATTAACAAGTTTTTTTGGATTTTTTTCTTATGGAATTCATTAAATGTATTGATGAGATTGGCGATGAGGAGCTACGACAAACAATTGTCGTCTTGATTTCTCGGGGGTCGAACATCGCTGTTCCTCTTGACACAGTCGACGAGCCAATGGATTCCCTCGTCTACTCCATCTCTGATTTGTATAATGAAAATTCATAGAAGATTAATTTAGGGATGAAGTAATGAAAATATCCCAGATATTTTTGGGTTGAAAAGATGAATAAAAAATCATAATTTTTGATAATTTACCCTTTTAATGCTGAAACTGGCATGACCATACAATCTCTTCTCCCAATCAGATGTGCATTGCGATTGAATATAGGTTTAACTTCCCTGATGCCCATTGAGTCCAAAATGTCTTGTTTATTTGCCAGAACCAATAAAGGAACACCAGTCAAATGTTCTGACGATATCACTCGATCTGGAAAAGAAAATATTTCCCAATTAAAGTTCTGAAATTCAAAATTTTCCTTGATTAATAAAAAATATAATAAGAAGATAATAATTACCGAAAGTCTCTTTGGAGTCTGGAATTCTCTCACGATCTGACGAGTCGACTATATAAATTACTGCGTGTGATTCTGCATAATACTGTTGATGAAAAATGCAATAATTAAGTAGAGTTATGGAATAATAAAATATTTTTTGGGCTAGGACAGAGAAAACGTAGAAAATGGAACTAAGAGTTTCTTCTGGGGATTTTTCTATATCTTAAGGTGCAATTGGAAAAGTTTAAATATTTACCTTATCCCAGAGTGACTGCAATTCCTCTTGTCCCCCCAAGTCCCAGAAATTTAGTCTCACTCCGTCAATATCAATTTTTCCAATATTCAGACCAACAGTTGTCGTTATTTTATTTGGATTCATCCCTTTATAATTCTTCGTGAATTTCGTTTTTGCAGCTTCCAGATATGTCTGAAAAAAAAAATAAATGTAGTTAACTGATGATGAAAATAAAGAACTACGAAATGCAATTTAATAATTACAAGTCCACAGGTTAATGAACAGGAGCTTGTAGCAATGATTAAATTCTTATTGTAGAAAAATTGAGGGAATTGGAATCAAAAAATGAAACTTACCGTTTTGCCAGCATTATCAAGCCCCAGGATGAGTACAAAATACTCGTCTTTCTGGACTAGATATTTGTAAAATCCATTCAATAAAGTGTACATATCCTCAAACAATTTAGTTCAGATTTTAATGCTTCTCATCAACAGAATAAATGGTCGCGCCCTCTCTCTCATAGGGTCGATCCTAAAACTTCCAGGATCACGATTACCCCCCGACGTGATACTCAAACTCAGGACTACCTCTTCCCCTTGGTTCGGATTTTTCGATAATAAATTTCGATTAATCGATTTAGATAGGATCGATCTCCATGTATCGATTCATAGAAAATCGACCTTTTTTCAACTCAAACGCAGACTTGCGTCAAAAAGGAATCATTAATTACTATAATTAATTATTGACGAAAGAATTAATTAGTAATAGTTAAAGAACTTAGATCGACACGCCTGATTAATCGACCCGCGAAAATCGAGTTGGAAGAACGAGTATCGAGTTTAAAACAATCGATCTTCACATTACTCTCCTTGGTACGCATGTTATTGTTGACACGTCTGGATGCCAACAGTCATTGAGCATGCGACAATCGTTACTACTAATTATAATTACTCTTGAATGTGTCATCTATTATTTTGTGAAGTGATAACGATTTCTCAAAGCGCAGAGGAATTTCAACAAGTCGAAAGGACAAATAGATGTCGTGATCACCTGTTGAATGATCACTGGTGATTTTTTGTTTATAAAATTACAAGTGAAAATTGATTTTTTGAAATTCTCACCTGATTGGATGGGAAATTCGTCGGCGAAGGGGTACACTAGGCCACAGAGAAAATTCACGAGTCAGGTTTGTCGAAAAAATTATTTATATCCTTCAGCACTTTTCATATAAAAATTGTCAATTGCAGTGTAGTCTAAGCAATATCATCAGCTGCACTGGAACAACTGAATTGGTTTACGAGGAATGCAGGCCTTGGTCGAGGATATCCAGAAGGACGTACGTAATCTTGTGGTAGAGAGACTGATTATTTAAGGGAATATGCTTAACAAATGAATTTTTTTTAATAATTTTTCATCGTGGGGTGGCATTTTGGATTATTGATGACGCAGATGGAGTGAAGGAACACTGAATGATCCTCTGAATTCAGCAAAAACTGCCTGGCCAGTGCCTCGATTCGAAGCAATATTTCTTCCTGAATTTAAAGTCAGAGAGGAGCCGATAAGAATTCATTACACATTCGTTGAAATAATATCGAAAGGGGCCTATGGAAGGGTCTACAAGGTTGAGGACAAGAAGGACAAGAAGATTTACGCCCTGAAGATGATCAGTAAGTCCAGGATCGTCGAGGAAAATGCTGTGTCTCAGGCTAAACAAGAGGTATCATTTATCTATTTGTTTATTTATTTAATTCTGTTTAAGTTCTGATGATTTTAATCCAATTAATTTATGGCCAATGGTCAATGGCCTTGAAGTCTAATGAAATTAATGGCCTAAATAAATAGACACTAATAAATTGAATAATTAGTACATCGCAACGAATGACGTGTTGTTTTCAGTTATCGTATTTGTTAATTGTATTATGTCGAAACCTCAGGGGTATTTTTTTTTATTTGTCGTCAGGTGGCTATTCAGAGGGCTGTAGGACATCACCCCTTCATCGCCCATTCAGTCCATCACTGGCAAGGTCGAAAAACCCTCTACATCCGTAAGAAAAAATTGTCCAGTCATCACTGAAATCTCTCATTCCTTCTTCATAATTTCATTGCCTATGAATGAAAGAATAATCATCAATTTCCAGTTACTGAATTTGTTGGAGGTGGAGAGCTATTCGAACTAGTCGATGAATACGTCACTCTACCTGAAGAAGTCGTGAGAATTTACGTTGCTGAAATAGCCCTAGCGATAGGTAGAAACCGCCGAATTAATTCACGAAAATATTGGTTGAATGATTTTTATTTCTCTTTATGAATGGCTGAAAATAAAATTATTCCACTCTTTCAGATTTCCTACACAATGCTGGAATTGTCCATCGAGACATAAAAGCAACGAACGTTCTTCTTGATGATGATGGTCACGCGGTGTTAATTGATTTCGGCCTAGCAAAATGGTTACGACCTCTTCACAGAACTGGCACCTTCTGCGGAACTCCAGAGTACATGGGTTAGTATCATAAAACATAAAAAATTAGTAGAAAATATTTGGAACAAAATAATTACATCTGTCAATTTTTATTCCCTTGAGATACTTTCTAGGTAATTCTTGCGGCAAATCATTTGCTAAAAATTTTCTCTCTCGTATACCCTTTCGGGTCTTTACGATTTGTTCCCTTCCCACCCCCCAACCCCCTGTACCGCATTTGCTGAAGAGAGGGAAAATCTCATCTGAGGAAAAACCTGCCCTGGTACAGTCGTCCTTTTGACAGGACTACCGCTCGGCAGTGAAACCGTGAGATCAGAGCGCTATAAATTTTTGACCGCCGGTGCCCGCGATCGAACCCGGATCCTTGGCATGCTAGTCTAGCACTCTAACCGCACTGCCACTACCGTCGGTCAAATCATTTGCTAATTAAATTCATGAATTCATTGCAGCCCCAGAAATATTGAAAAGAGAGTACTATGGGCACGAGGTCGACTGGTGGTCATTGGGTGTCCTCACGTGTTTTCTACTCACGAATAAGGTAGGACAAATCCATAACGTACACCATTTAATTAACATGCATACGCAATTGCAATATTTTATTGCGCAATGGAAGTGGCGAAAAGTGGTCGAATTCCAAATCCAGAATTTCTTGTTTTATGAAGGTTGGATATTTCCGGTGATTGAGTTAATTTTACAGATTACTTTTTTTCCCGTAAAATATCGAGGGGTAGAGTGGGCATCTACCTTGCCGACTGTTTATAGACATCAACTAAGTTAGCTGTCAGGTTTCCCTGTCTGCCTAGTATGGTTAGAATACTAGAATTCAGAAACTAACAAGACTCCGTGGCGCAACGGTAGCGCGTCTGACTCCAGATCAGAAGGTTGCGTGTTCAAATCACGTCGGGGTCAATGAACAATTTTTTTTTATCTCAGATGATTTATCGATTCATCATTATCATTGGCTTGCCACCATGGGTTTACATGCCCATTCTTGATTAACGGAGAGATAAAAGGATGATGATCGCGGCTTACAAGAGATTTTTACGGCTGGATAAAAATTTGAACGTTGAGAAGCCGCAGGAAAAAAAAACTATTTTAGAATTAGCCGTAAAAAATAGGGAATAAATTTGGTGAAAGATGACGGACCTAAATAAATTTAATAAATCCTCGAAGTACGAGGAGGTTCACAGATTTTGGGGCCATCATTTTGGCGGCTCCCTTTGGCGTAAGGGGCGTTCAAAATGGTGGTTCTTCACCTCGTCGTTTTGAAGAGGTATTAAAATTATTGGTCTTTTTCAAATCATTCGGCGTTTGTTTCATGAGGTTTTTACCGAGTGAACAATTTTTTTATCCAATACTTGGCGCACCTCTCGGCTCTCATCCGTCTTCATACATTTTTATATGAATTTTTGTAAGTTTAACTTGCATTTACCTCAAATTATACTTAAATTTCATTAGCCGACGGCAGATGACGGTAGTATCCCATTTTCCTTCCAGTATTCATGAATAATAGTCAAGGGTGGAGTAGAGAGAAATCAGGGAGTAAAATTTTATGAAGGTCTATACAATTTAGAATGAAAAGAAAAAGGTCCGAGGATTCCTGGATCATGGGTTTCATAAAAGAAATACGGACTTAAGTTGTCGAGGAAATCTAAAAAAATGGGAACAATAAGGACAATAGAAGGGCCCGAGGGTCGCCAAAGTAAGAGTAATAGAAGGTAATAGAGTGATTGAAAAGTGCTTAGAGAATATTTCTTTGAAAATATTGGGGAAATCAGCTTATACTTATATGGTTCACGATGCAGGCGTAGTGTTCGGTTGTATTGTTATTCCGAATTTAGTTATCTTTGTTACTTGTATCAATACTGTTCTACAATGGGATATATCCAGAAATTTCTGGCGCCCGGTGGCAATCAGATTTTCGGGTTTATGTCTGAATGGAGCGTCATTAGAGACGGGTTGTGTATCGGGAGGAAAAAATAACTTCTAATAACATCTCTCGTATATTTTTCCCTGGCCTTGCCTAAATCAATAGCTTAAATTGTAACACATGGTAGCGGACCCATACCCGTCCGGAAAAAATATATAAATCACTCGGCACTTTATCTAGAATAAGCGTAACATCGCACGGGCTCTTTCAACATCCTGAGATACCGATAACACTATGGGACTTTTTTTTTGAAAATTCACACACATTCTCTTGAAGCTTCGTATTTTCACGTTTCATACCAGAAAATTTAGAAAATCGAAAAAATCATCGATTGCAAAGCTGCTATTCGGAAATAAAAATAGTACAGAACAGTTCCAAAAGGGTACACGATCGATTTCTGTCAATTTTTTTGTTATATAAATAATAGAAAAAAAATACGCTCCCGGGTGGGCTCGAACCACCAACCTTTCGGTTAACAGCCGAACGCGCTAGCCAATTGCGCCACGGAAGCCATGGTTTTTAAAAATTCTTTCTTCTTTAAGAACCGCCGATCAGAGATCGCCATAAATAATTAATTTTCCAATATATTATTGAAGTTTAAGCCTTGAAAAATCAACTTCTCAATCCAACCAAGGGTTCTGGATTGTCCAAGTAATTAGTGTTGCACAATTAAGCGAAAACTGACGACTAGTAAAAGCCAACTCATGTCGATTTATTAGTGAGTTACTTAATTTTGAGTGAAATACTTAAATGGTGATTAGATTGTCGGCAATCTCCAGTCGAGACTGATTTTACATCGATAGAGATTGTTCTCTCTTAATGTCCAATGAGAATGAACTCAACTGTTGCAAAATATCCCTTGACATTTTAGCAGATGTCCTCATGATCCTTACATTCCATAGATTGGTATTTTGTTTAAATAATTACAAAGCCATGATTTATCCTCTAATTCTTGTGAACTTTTCCACATTCTTGACATTTGCTGGGGTCGTGAGAGGCTGCCATTACTTTCATTCAAAATCGCAGGAAATTTCCGATGAAAAAGTCAACGTTAAAATGGGAACACTCGAAATGAATCCATTGGTGTCGAAAATATATTCTTTCTCTCCATCGGCTTCTTTCCGAGTCTACGATTCATTGTTGACGACAATATTCCACACGTCCCTTCCCACTATTTTAAATTCCAAACGGAAATATCCGATTATCACTCATTTATCACTTGCTACAATCTCCATTCAACGGCTTCTCAAAAAAAAAATGGATAAACAAATAAAAATGACAATTTATAATAATAATACGTCATTATTATTACAGTAACGATGTTTGTGATATTTCAATAATACAAATCGTTGATCAATATTAATATAATAAAATATAATATTACTGATCCATTCTTTTTTTTTCACTTTTATTTTTCGTTTAATTGTAAAATAATATTTTCAATAATGTTGACATGTAGCATCTAAAGAAACAATAAATGTCCGGGAGGGGTAAGGAAGTGGGAGGAGGTGATGGGAAGGAAATTGACCTTGGATAAGAGAAACCGCAGAGAAAGAAAAATTACAGCACAGGGGGAAAATTGCGACGAAGAGCGACGAAATATCATCAAAAATGCCACCATCCCGGGTGGTTCGAGCTCGGTAAAACGATTAATTCGATCAATGCGAAGAAAAAAAAATATTGTTTCGTGATATATTTTCTTATCCGAGGTCGTATCGCGCCAGGGAAAGTGGCAAAACGCCTCGCCATGACAATCTCTCAATCGAAAAAAAATAGTATCCAAACAAGAAAAGAATTCCACATTCTTTCGTTTATAAAAAAAAAATGATCAATCAGTCAAGTGAATACATTCGTACTCTAGTCTCGTAATGAGAATCATTCATGTGAGGCAATCGTAACAAGTATCAATCACACATTTTGAGTTGGATGGAGAATTAATAAAATAATTTTTCATCTGATGATTGAGGTGATACTGAAGATCATTCCTTCTTCTCCTCGAGTTCCTGGGGTTTGGGTAATTCCTCAGCCTTGTTCTCCTCTTTCTTGACCTCCTTCGACTCCTTCGACTCCTTCGACTCCTCTGATGAAGCGTCAGCTGATTTCTTCAGACCGGATTCTTCGCTTGACTTGTCCTCAGCGCTGCTATTCTCTTTCTTCTCTTCGACAGCCGTGGCTGGTTCTTGAACGGGTTTCAGAGGCTCTGGTACTGCCTCCTTAACAGCCTCAGGCTTAGCCTCAACGATATCTTCGGATTTGGCCAGAGGGGCTTTGTCCGCTGGCTTGTCCTCGGCCACTGCAACGTTCCCTTCGGCTGCTCTCTTAGTCTCGACAATTGGCTCGTCTGATTTACCCTGGATTGGCACAGCTACTTCCTTCTCGCCTTCCTTCTTTGGCTCTTCAGCAGCTTCAATTGCTGCCACCACAGGCTCCTCCTTGATCACTGCCTTGTCCTCAACTGTTTTCTCTAGCTTAGTCTCACCCTCTGGCTTCTTCTCCTCCTCCTTGGCCACTTCGACGGCCTCGACTTTCTTCTCCTCTTTCTTCTCCTCCTTCTCTGGCTCGGCTACAGCAGCAGCTACTTCTGGAACAGGGACTGAGGCTGCTGGCGCCTCAACCGGTGCCTGTGCTGGTTTTTCATCTTCAGTGCCACGAGTCACACGATCTACATTGGCAGCTTTGGCTTCCTTCTGCTCCTGAACTGGTTTAGCCTCTTCACTAATGACAGCCTCGGGCTTCTTCTCTTCAGCGGCAGCTGGCTCTGATGCTGCTGCTACAGCAGGCGCAACAGGGACCTCAGCCTTGACGGCCGGTGAGGCCTCTGCGATCTTCTGGACTGGTTCTTCTACCGGTGCACCCTTAACTTCAGCAACGGCTTCCGGCTGAAAATATTAGATCATCGGTCAACACAATGATCTTTGATCATGCCAGAATATCTTTGATAGTTTCGCATGATCCTAATCCTTGTAAAGACTTACCTTGACATCGACAGCAGCAGCTTCTGGTGCAGCAGGCACAGCTGGTACAGCAGGCACTGCAGCAGGCTCAATTGGTGATGATTTAGCAGCCTGCTGGGGCTCAGCACTCTGGATCTCCTCCTTCTTCTCGGGTTCTTCAGCCTTCACTGGCTCAGCAATCTTTACCAGCTCGGGCTTAGCTTCTTCTGTCTTCTCAACATCTGGCTTAGCTTCAGCCTTGACCTCGTCAACACCTCTCGCTGATGCTTCCTGATGCGCGGCATGCTCTGCCGGTGTCTCATTCTCCTTGTGCTGAGACACCTCTGATGCCTCTCTCCTGAGTACCTGCTGGCTCTCCAATGGCACCACTCCCAGTGGCTCCTGCTCAGCAACTGGCATTGACAATACCTGGTGGAGCGCAACAGCGCACAGTACAACTGCCACGTACTTCATAATTAAATCTGTGAATCAGCCAATCAAATCATTAGAACCATCGTGATGAATGATGATTGATGGGATTGTGACATTGAAAACGTTTTGACAGCTTTTCCGTGGCAGACGGTAACAATTTGTCAAATTAATCGGTAATGACAGGATGCAAGGCGACGGGATCACGAACGATGTAGATGATGGAAATGTGGAATGCGGTGGGAATTGGAGATTAGTATTGGGAAGGGTGACAGGAGGAAATGCCAGACCCCTATTACCTCATCAAGAATCATCAGATTCTCTTAATGGCGACACAATGAACCGGGGAAAGACGTCGGGGAGGACAGGGGATACCTCTTCCGTTCAACCGATGGTGCCTTTCTGAATGATTAATTCGACTTTTTGGCAGGGAAATTTCTCTTTTTATATTTTGACTTATTTCTCTCTTTATTTTTTTTTTTTCTTTGTTTTGGGAATCTCTCGTGTTTATTCTCGTGGCTTGTGGTGAGTGGAGAGAGGTATAATTGATGGTTATTATTACGAAATGACAATTGCGCAATTTATATTTAAGATTTGCAACACAATTTTTTTTTTTTCACGTTTATGGTGGGGCAAAAGAGAGAGGCAATTTGAAGGTAATTGTATACTCACTTATTGTAGAGTCCTTTTGAATAATAAACACAGGCGATGCACCAAACTTATGATTTGAGTTAGGTTTGGGGTTTAGTGTGAACTTTTGGTTTAACGGGTTGTTCTTTTTGGTTGTTTTTTTTCTCTCTTTTGTTTTTTTTTCGTCGGGTTTTTTTGGGGTCGCGTACGCGTTCAACGGGGGACCGCTCTGTCAGGGAGGTTTCGGTCGTGTGTCGGTGGGAATGGAAGGTCTGGCCTCTTATATACCCCTCGCACGGCCACTCAGCACGATGAGGGACCTGGAGGTGACTCCCTCCAGTGATCTTTCTCGTCGATGGCCTGCCGTAAGTCCCAGCCCGGTGGGGACGGCTTTTTCGTTGGTCTTCTCATTTTTTTCGTCATTTTTTCCCCACCTTTTTTAATTACTTGTTCAATTAGTTTTACATATTTTGACAGTGCCATTTTTCGCTATTGTCATTTTCATGATTTTTTTTTCTGGGGGGAGAATTCACATCATTTTTCCGATTTTTTTCCGTTTTCGAATAATTGAGACTTCTATTAATTTTATACACTTCGAATTTGAAATTTTAACGCTACTGACAAGTCAGTCATTTTCTTTTTTGTGAAAAATTCATGGAAATAATTATTTCGCTTTATCAAGTTGTTAATATTTTAATTACAAAATTGGAAATTTTTTTTCCGTTAAAAAGTTTTTATAAAAAATTGGTGAAATATTTATTTTTGTAAATATTTACATTTATTTCCAAGAATGGAAAATTTTTATTTTTTTTTTCTCATTCCATTATTGGAGAAGTTTCCAGGAATCAAGAAAATATTAAATCGACTCGCCTTGTAATCAGAAAAATCCTGGTTTTTCTCAAAACAAATGGTTCTTGGATCTACTCGAAAAGTAGTACGTTAAATGTCTCTGACCAATTCTCTGACTAATTCTCTGATTAATAGTAACTCTAATTGATTTCTAATTATTTATTCAGAATTTCATGGTATGGACAAAAAGAACCGATTGCTCACTCCCATGGATAATTCCTCAATCCCATGAACTCCGACCTGTAATTATCTTTTCCTCAAACTAATTGAAGTGTGAACTCCTCCCAAAAATTTAAATCACAGACGAGTTTGTGATTATTTATTAATTTCATTTGTTCATCTAAATACATTTTTTTTTATTTACAAAATATTTCTCTCAATCTCCCAAAGATATCCCGAGAGCGAGTAAAAAAGACATTTACTCTTACGATCTCGCGTGAGATGTAAAAAAAAAACACAAGGAAATCCTCTCCTCAGTGACGATTACGAAATAATGGGACCGCTTTGTTATCGGTTTTTTTTTTTACGATTTTTCAATATCAGGGGTTAACGGTCTTCTGGGCGTTGGGTTTATGCATTTCCAAGGATCCGTGAAAGATTTCGGAGGAATTTGGACAGCTGGCCGTTAAGACAGGTTCAGAAAAATGATAGCTGGGATGAGTGTCTTGAATAGTTTTAATCGTTCGTCCGGGATTTATCCTGACAACTCGCCTCTGAAGATGGTCAACAGGTTTTTTGGAATTTCAAGGTATTTTCCTTATGCATTTCCTTCATTATTTCCTGGTCTCCTCAAAATCCATTTTTTTCACCTCTCAATCAATCAATCAATCAATCAACTTTTCCACCTCGTAAACAAAATTTCCGATTGATTAAAAATTTATCCCAATTGTGAATTGATCGTGAAAAATATGTTATCGTTAATGAAAATGATTATTTCCATTATTTTTAATCAAGTTTACATGGTGAGAAATATTCAATAAAAATTACGTGTCTTTTCCGTAATTCCGGAGTGAGATGTGGTTGTAGAAAATTTTGCGGAGCTGTCACGTAATTTTTATCTAAAGTCACGGATTTTTCTGCGCCGTACCATAATTTTCATTTGAATTATCTCTAAAAAATTACAACATCATTAAATTTTTCGAGTCAATTCCGTAATCGATAAGCGAACAGTAAGTTCCGTAATTTTTGGAAAGAAAAACGAAAATAAAAAGGAATTACATAAAATTTTCAATTTCACTTGAAATTTTCCGAGGGACTTCCAGTCCCCTCCAGAAATCAAATGATTTTTTTCAACTCATTATGAATCGTCTCATTTATCATCTCTCGCTATTTTTATATCCCATAATTTCCTCACGACCACGTTGATTATATTCTCAGAAATCCCCCACTCAATTACAATGATTTGTAGCCACGCGCACCGAGTAGAAACAATCGTTCGAGTGCGATTAAAAAAATCAAAGTAACGCGGGAGAAACCGATTAAATAATTGCAAATATTAATCCTCCATGTGAAATCATCGGTCTACTATTTGCGTTTCATTTTTTCCAATATGTTAATTATATTGGGTTAAAAAGAAATTTCGGTGGTCAAATCAATGACTCTTGATTCAATAATAACAGTAATAAGAATAATAAATCGGTTACATGATTTTCATTTATATATAGATTATTGATTTTCTGAAAAGGTCCGTGTAATTTTTCCCCGATTTTCCAACGTGATTGTCGTATAATCTATAAATAGCTCGTGACCACAATTTTCGTCTTTCTCAATATTTTTATTTACCTCAGTCTATAAATATAAAGTAGCCAAGACTCGTTCAAAGTTGTAATCTTCGGTAACGGTACGTAACGGTTGTAAAGAATTCCCCTGGGTGAGTGAGAAAATGAGCAAATAGGAAGTTCACGGGAGTGGATTTAATTTCTGCCTCAATCCTCATTTTTTTTCATCATTTTTCTCAATTTTCATCTCCCCAGGATGTCAAAATTACGGATTTCTACTTGAACATGTTCAGGAATATTTTTTTATTCTCTCAAATCCAAGTTTATAATCACAACAATTTTTTTATCGTAATGGGATGGGTTTATTACCTTTACGCGCCTAAAAACAATTTTCTCTTACTGCCAAAATATTTAATTTCAATCCTATCGTAACACGGAGAAAACAAATACTTGAAATAAAAATATTATTATACTTAATTTAAGTACATCTTGCTCTGGATCTTAAGATATTTATAATTGTTATTAGAATGGTGGGAAAATCAATTTTTCATCGATATTCATCGAAAATTGAAAATCGCTTAAATTCCACCGAAATTTTTCATCATTCGGAAACCCTTGGCTATCTGATTTTCAAATGAATTTCGTCGTCGAAAAATTTCATGACTCAGAAGTTGAGTTTTAACACGACTGATCTGACAAGAAGTCTTTTTCTCTCGGATTATTCTTCATTAAAACGTGAGACGTACTTGAGCCATTTAATTGAATGATTCATGACTCGGTGGTAATTCTTAGTAACTATTTAATTGACCAGTGAAATACCTGGTGGGTTGAATAGATAATTACTTTTTTCATTAAATTGAGAGACAGAGTAATTATTAAAATGTTTTTATCAGGAAAGATAGAAATGGTTCTGAATTTAATTATGCCTTCAGGTGAAAATTATTGTTTAAAAAAAATTATTCTGATTATTTTTAAATATTATTTAAATTGTTCTTCAAACCTTTTAAAATTCCAATTAATTTATTAATTTAATATACAATTTTTGGGGCCAATCCCATCGACCATAATTTGTCAGAAAATTCAAAAAATTTGAGAAAAAATTTATTTTTCCCAAAATTATGGGGTAAAATTCATTATTTTTTTTTTTATTATTTTTTCCACTTGACTACTCAACAGGAGAAGAGGAATAATTCTGTCAAGAATTTACACTTGAATTACCAAGGCCACCGCATATCTATTAATTGTATTAGCGTTTTCCACGCGCACGTCATAAAATTTTTTGCGGTCTTAGAGTACCGATGATTCATGTGGATTCCGTCAGATTTTTGCGACGTGCCGTCAATACTATCACAAACGATAAAATTGTTATTTCACGTCAGAAATTCCCCGATATTCCCGTCCACACAAACGTAATTAGGTGATTAACACATTCTTCATGAATTTTCTCAACCATTTTATTTCGCTAAATTCACAGGCATTGACTATGACTGGACTATGACTCTTTGTTAAACAATAATTGACAATAATCGAAAAGATTGATTAATAATTAAAAAAGAGGTAATTCCATCTATAATTCCGTCAAAAGTTCGAAATCGAATGAAAAAATCGGCTTGAAGATCGGATGAATGTTAATGAATGTTAATGAATATTAATCGAATATTTCAAGGAATGTTTATAGATATTTAGTGCATCGATTAATTGGACGGAATTGTCGTTAACTGATGCAATTACTGATCTCTCGTAATTTAATGCTTGAATACCCGAGGAGAAATTTCCACTAAAAATTCGTACGCGGAATGGCTTTAAAAATTACCGGACTGGAAAAATTACCGGATTAAATATTACGGTTCAGTCCAGTAAAATTTCCACTAAGATTTACGAAGTGCAGAAAAAAATTATTAAAATATGATACGAAAAAAATGAACTGCTCATTATTAATCCGCTGCTTCCACGAATATTTCAACTTTTTAGCAGTACATTTTACAACATTGAACGAACTTCGGAGAAAATTCAGGATCAGTCCATTTGTCACCCTGCGCAGTAAATATTCCGGGGAACTGCAGTGATTTTTTAGGAATTTCACATGACTTTTCATCAGTACAGTGGAACATCCCACGTTTACTAATACGAGGCCAGTAATTTATCGTGGATATTTCTCTCCGTGTAGGTTGAATAAGTCTGCGCTATAAAATTTTTCGAAGATGTTCAAGTCCTTGGCCTTGAGTGCTACTTGCCTTCTAATTTTATCCCAAACTCAAATCCGGTTTTTCTCCCCTGGTCCTGGGGCCCTTCGAATTTCTGTTCATTATCTTGGGTGAAGCCCTGGGCCGGGGGCAATGATTTGACACTCGACGCATTCAGGAAGTCTGAGGGCTCAGAGAAAAATAATTTATTTCCCAGAAAAATTCACGCGATTCTGGGATTTCATCTTGATGACAATTAATAACCTCGAGATCCTACGGATAAACGACTCTTTCACTCTCAATTACATTATTTATCTAATAAATCCATTATTTAGTCATTAAATTTACATTAATTATGATATATTTTTTTGAGTTACTCCAATTTTTCCTCAATGTCCATGAGGAAAATTTTTCGTTCCTTGAATATTTCGAAAATGTGAGGAAAAAATATTTATCTACGAGAGAAGAACGTTATTTTTATTATTTTTTAACTAGATGGTAAATTTTCCGGTCCATTGAA